AGTCCCCAGGTGAAAAAATAAGTAGCCCTACCCCTAACCCTACAAACTGTAAGCTGTCAGTTCCCATTAATGAAAATGTGTTTTATGTTGACCGCTTTTTCCTTGTGTGTTTGTGTGTGTGTGAGATTAGGTGTACCTAGTAGGATACTGTCATGCCTTCAGGTTCTGTCCGGGTGGACAACATGTAGAGTACCGTGAAGCCAGCAGGACACCACATGAAGGCACCACTGAGTTCATCAGCATGGACGCACATAAGGGAGCAGGTGAGTCACGTCTGTGGCTCCTCACAACTAACATCAGTGTATCAGGCGCCGTTTCACTCCGTAAGCCACTTTCCACGGGGAACACCTGCAAGGCTCCACCAGTCCACCCGTCTGCAGACACGTTAGACTCATCTGATTTATTTATTGCGGTTGCTGACTGCAATACTCTTAAGTGCAAAAGGTCCTTTCAACATTTCAACAAGAAGGTGATATGTAAGTCTGAGGGGTTGTTTTGTCCCAACCTGTGTTGTAATCACTGTGCATGTGTATTGTCCCTTTTAGCTCCGTCTCGACGCAGTGACCTGCAGTCTCTGGGTTACTGCATGCTGCGCTGGCACACAGGGACGCTGCCGTGGACCCACCTCGCTGACCCGGACCAGGTGGCCACTGAGAAACACCGGTGAGCGAGTATCATCACTGCGATGTTTAAAGCCCAAACTCCCTGCATTCACCACAATAATACGAGTTGGATAAACATGCTGCCAATCACCTATATGGTTTAGTAATTAGTAAAACACAAAGGAAATGCAAGTTATACATGTCGTTGTAGGTACGCTGAGGATGTTCCTGCACTGTTGAGACACTGCTTTGGGAGGAAGGGAGTTTCCAGTGAGTAAAAATTTGTGTTATAAAATACATTAATGTGTGATCAAGATCTGATATACTTATTTGTGTGTGTGTGTGTGGCGCGGTGTAGGTGCGTTTGAAACATACCTGACTAAAGTGATGAGTCTGCAGTACTCTGAGGAGCCGGACTACTCTGCACTGAAGGCTGGACTCATCGCCGCTTTGCTGCAGCTCGGGGGGTCACCGGAGCTGCCGCTTAGTTTTTAGGTGAGGACTCATCACTGCAACTGAGTACATGTAACATGTTACACGAACATGTTCCATGTACTCCGGCACGGGTAGATTCTTGTTTTATACCACAGGGTCCAGACACTTAACCAGATCAAATAAATCTCACCTTTCTTTCACAGTGAATACGATTCAGCACCACACTGTTGGCACCTAAACGTTTTTGGGCAGGGCCACATTGTCTCTTTTGGTTTTATATTTCTTGACTTTTTTTGTAGAAACGTGTGCATTCTGTGTGATAATTTACTATTTAAATGTCTACTTTTGTTTTCAGAGAAATGGAACAAAACAAAGATAAGATTTGTCACTTGTTTTTTTTTTATCATGCTGTTTTTATCTGCTGTTGATGTTTTTATGCACTGAATGTTTGAGTGTTTATGTCTAAGTGACACATATGTTCTTTCATTGGCTTTTGGTCGGGATAATCCTTTTTAGCACCTCTGGTATTGTGTGTGTTCATTAAGTGTTTTTAACATTACAAGAGCAACTTGGATCTCGCATCAAGTTCTCTATTTGTTGCACACATTTGGGTTTTGATGACATATTAAATGTGTCGTTCCTCTTTTAACGGGTTGCTTGTTTCAACGGTTCCTGAAGACGAGCCGACGCACAGATGTAGATTAACACAAATAAACACTTCCTCATATGTAGTTTGCCGGAGTAAAAATCAGTATAGTGCCTTTTTCTCATCTAAGTTCACCAGAAACGTACTTCATTAATGTTAAATACATCTTTACTTTCTATATTGCTAAATAAATCGTTCATAAGAAAATGTTTTCTGTGCTCCTGTTTGTGGGATGTTTTCAATACTGAACCACAGGCCTCCTTCCAACTTACACATGCGGCTTCATTCAACACAACAAAAGACATGTTCATTTGAAAGAAACCTTTATAAAGTTGAACATTTCTCAACATAAACATTTTAACATTTCAAGACATATACACTTCTCTATATGAAACAGTAAATATCTCTTATTGTGCACACTCTTAAAGTAATTCAGAAAATAAACACTTATCTTTTGCCTGATCTCTTCTGTCGTGGCATTTTAAAACCTTACATCTGTCACTTGAGGCACTTTCTGAATGACGAGGCGTTTGTAGAACGACGTAAAACATGTTTCTGAACGACTACGGCGCCCCCGGGTGGCGGCTTTTGAACACTTCTACAGACCTGATGGCTTCCTCGCAGCGAAGCTTAGCTCACACGCACTCACAAACTGATCCATTGAGCTTTTTATACAGACATGCTGGCAGTGTGAGGCAGCTACACATGCAGGTTTAAATATAGTTTTACACTGCAGGTTCTCTTCATGTTGGACCAAAGAGGGTTTGAGGAGAAACTCAAGGTTGATGTGTTCATATTCCGTCCAAACGTTCCCTGTGTTGCTTTGTTGAATGTAACTTCTGCACTCTGTAAATTCTGGATTATTCAATGTGTCTGATACTAAAAATAAAGATTGTCAGGGTACATTCCAGGTTTAAGAATGACTAAATGACCAGAGCACGTCGCTGAAACATCACATGCTCATGAAGTCTTTATTTCCTTCTCTGTAACAGGGAAACGGGCTCTGGGCTGTACACTGATTTAACACTGATTTGTTTGTCTGTTTCCTCCTCATATGCTGATTAGCTTGGAAAGCAAACTCAGTAAGTGATTGTAAGCTTCTCTGTAAATGATAGAAATCCATCAACTCAAACTAATAAATGCTCTGTAAAGCCATAAACAAGGCCGCTTTCAGCTGCTCCTGAAATGTTTTGGACATGGAATGTTCACGCGACAGGAACAGCTCATGGAAATGTAAACGAAGTGGTGGCTCGTTTTGAACCAGGCAACGTGATGGATTACGTGTTGAAAAATACGAGGGCTTTGAGGGGATTTTTTTTCCCCATCAGGATTTAGGTGGACCTCAAACTTTATTTAGGCAAATATGTGCACAAACTCTGCCGCAATGGAAGAGCTTGTTTGTCTGAGCAGTTAGTGGAACATCCTCCTGACATGAGGAACAGGCAGATGGCGTGAGTAAGTCGGGGGGGTGGTTTAGCTGTGGTTCCACAGTGTCATTAGAAGACAGTAGTGGTCAAATGGGTGGGAGTAGGAGGGGGGGGGGGGGCGCTCATCCCGGCCATGTGACACGGCCTCTCCTGAAGGATTAAAAACGGGGAACATTAACAAAACTTCCCACGCTCCAGTGCGCTGGTCACGTGAACGACGGCAGCCTCAGTTCACGGAACTAACTCCTCTCATCGCGTTGGTCGTCTCCCTTTTCCTCGCTGGGCTCCTCGGGCATCTCCATCTGACACAAATCCTGCACGTCACCAACACTCGACTCCTTTAAAGAAATACAAATATAAAAAAATGGGTTGTTTCAGTCAACATGAACATTTACATTAAAACAAACTTTTTAAGAAGCGCTCGTCAGATACTTTTGACTACCTGTGATTCAGAGAAACGATCTTCATCCGAGTTTCTGAATCCTTCCGGGGCTTCCATGAGAATCTGCAGAGCGTCGGCCTCCTCGTCGCTGCAGAGAAGAGACGCGCACTGAACTGGAATTGTTTGGTTGGACACGTACACATACGTTCCTCCACATCGCATCATACACATTTCCCCAAAATTAAGCCTGATGCATTTGTTCACATTCTGTCATTCAGGCCACGAATGTGATCAGCCGAGTTGGAGACGTTGGTATTATTTTAAATATATACTTAAAAAAAAGGCACAACTGATCTCAACGATGACTGCTGACACTGACCTTCCAGAGTAAAAGTTTCCTTCATCCTTATCTTCTTCCTCCACTCTTTTTTCCTCCATTTTGTTTTGGTCTTCCCCGCCGTCCTCCTCATTTTTTTCTCTCTCTTCCGGCTGTAACTCGTCTTCCTCTTGTTCTTCCTCCTCCTCAAGATCGGAGCAGTTGAGGAAGTCGAAACTTTCAAGAGCCGTCTCGACTTCCAGGTTGAAGCTAGAAGACGTGGGGAAAGAAACCTACGTGGAAAACAAACGCCGGTGTTTAAATATCACCTGCGAGCCATTGACCTTTACAAAAGCTTAGGACGAATGACGCTCACCGTCAGAGCCTCCTCTGGTGGTCTTGACTCCTGGACGGACTCTGCTGCTCCGGCCTTTACTGACAAATCCTCCGACGATTCTCTTTTCTCCACCGCTAAAATGCAAACTTGTGGGACTCCACTTTTGGACAAATCCTGCGCTTGGATCAGCGACGCGGGAGGTCCGGGGCAAACGTCGGAGCACGAGCAGCTCAGCTCAGCTGAGGACTCGGAGAGGTCAGCCGATTGCACAGACACTCGATCGGCCACGGCGCAGTCCGGGCTATGAGAGCGGGAAGTCTGCAGATGGCCGTTGGGCAACGCGTCCGCCGGAGCAAAAGCCTCCCCGGCTTCCGTCTCGTCTTCCTCTTGGTTGGAGGAGAGCGACGGCGTCGACGCGCTGGACTTGTGCGGCGTGAAGGACAGCTGAGGGGTGAGATTGGTCGGCAGCATGTTGGAGGCCGCCAGCCGGTGAGCGTGGTGGGCCAAGGCCGGACTGGACGAGTCGTCGGAGGATTCGGAGGAGTTGGACCAGACGGTCCCGTTCTCCATCTCGCCCTGTCGTTTTAGCAGAGACTGGAGAGGGAACAGCAGTGAATGAATCAGCCTGTCTTCATACGAGGGGATTGCAGATTATGTGTAAATGTTGGTAGTCACATGAAGCCAGTTGAAAGCGGATTCTGCTTCCACAAGGCGGCAGTTTGTTTCTAATTTCAGTGATTGATTCTTATGTTCCGTCTAAAAACAGCAATTGTTGGACACTTTAATGTGTCCTTTGTCCCAATATAAACAGAAAACACTACCTTTCAGCTCCTGTACAGTCAACTTCAGTCTGTAGGCAGTGTTGATGAATGACTTTGGGCACTTTTCACATTCTACACACTAAATGATCATCATTGATTTCATGTCTAATAAATGAATTCATTGACAGATCGGGATCAATTAGTAAAATGTCTCATTATCATAAGACATAATTAGGCTTTGTCTAAGATCTATTGCTGGTTTAATCAAAGAACCAAACTACAGCTACGTCCAAACACACCGACTGTACAGAGATGAATCTGGGTGTCGTACGGCTGAACTCAAAACGCAAGGACGCCGTCCTGTCCGCCACGGCGTCGTGGAACGCCTCCGCCAGCGTGCGGCTGTGTCTGCGCCCGCCTCGGGGCGCGCTCTTCAGCGGGGTGAGGAAGAGGAGGGACATATTGGAGCTCTACTCAACCACTATTGAACAGCTACAAGGACCACAGCTCCGTTCACACATGCTGCTGCCGTCACGCGTCCCGCTACCGTTCACTCTCCTCACATCGGGCACGCCACTCCCACAACCACATGACCTGACACACAGAGCTCTGTGAAGAGCCTCACACACGCCAGCGCTACCGCTACACAACAAGCAGTTGGGGAGCAGCTGAAATAGAACAAGCCGATGACAGTAACAACAGCCGTCAGTAAGGTAAGACAAGTGTATTTATGATACCATCCATTTATACTACTCATTATTAGTAAAATAATGAGTAGTTAATGGTTTTAGCACTTAGTAGTATAACATAACAGGTGTGATGGATTGTCGCTTGTGGAAAATGATGAAACAATCTCTTTTATTGGGACTCACATAAAACACCTGCTCCCGCATGGAGGGCGTGTCTGGAGGGCTCTGATTGGACAGCAGACGCTTTGAAACTGTACTGGTGGAGCACGTCTGGTCGTCCTTATCAAATGGACTGAAAAACAAAAACAAAGCAAGACAAAAACTAGGAGATAGAACCCAAAAAAAAAATAGACGAACATGTTAGAAGTGTGCAGTTACATAAATAAGCCATGCGAGGTTCAAGTACCTCCAGGTGACCTCTAGGTTCAGCTTCACCGTCCCCAGGTCGTTGATGTCCACGGCGAGCGTCTGGGGAAGCGGACAGAACAGGTCGAGCATTTCACAGGAAACGCTGCCCACCACCACGTGATTGGCCAGGCTCTTCAGCTCCGTCACCTTGACAACCAAAACAAGCAAACCTCAGAGAGATGAAGATAGCCAGAGGCCGGGGGGAACACAACAAAGGGTGACAATTAGCTACAGCTGGCATTTTGGGAGGAAGTTGGAAGATAAGGCCGGCGTCAGAACATATTGCACATGTTTTGCATACAGCTGTAAACACCCACGGCAGGAATAAACAGTATCTATGAATGCACCGCGGCCCACAGCCAATGGCCTCTTGTGGCAGTTTGTTACATTTGCCGTTTGCCCAGCTGTTTTAGGTAAATATTTGGCCTTTTTAAATAATGAAACTATGCATTTGTGACCTTTTTAAAGGACACAAAGGGTGTAGGAACCAGTGGCCACAAACCGGTTATGGAAGTCGAATGTTGTTGGTTTTGGGCTTTTTGTGGGATTTGTCTATAATAACAAACATTAGGAGTAACACAAGCCTTTCTTTTTTTAAAGCTTATTTCATTACCTTGATTGACAGCAGTTCTGTGACAAGAGGCAGGAAGATGTAATCTTCACTGTCCCAAATCTGCTTGTTGCTGACTTCCACGCGGCCTCGTAGCCTCCAGCGTTGCCGCCCGTATCGCATTAGGACCTGGAGGGGAAAAAAGAAAAACATCAAAAACCGACACGGATACATTGCACACTGCACATACACCGTCTCTAGATGCTTGGATTTGTGTTGCCTACCTCATACTGGTCACCAGCACACAGGCGTGCAAAGCCGGCGAGGCCTAACACATCCAAAAGAAGAAATGAGAATGTTAGAACTGTTTAATAACACAGAGTGAACAAAATAGGAAGTGGTAAAAAGTGACTCACCCTTCATCTTGACATGAAATTCTCCCATCTGGCTTTCTAATTCACTCTCGAGTGAGCACATGTGCTGCAGAGACAGATGGAAGGAAGGATTTGAACAACAGGACAGGGATTTGGTAGAACATAAGATCATACAGTGCATAGTCTCACATCTATTTCTGTGTATTTGCTGAAACATATAAACACATTGACGTCCGTCACTTGCCTCAGTACATTCCCTGTAGCCCTTGTTGGCTTCACTCAGGCTCTCTCGGGCCTCCTTGCTGCCAGTGGCGGTGTTGAAGGCCGCCACCATCTTACTTGCTCCGTCACGCAGTCGCCGCTGAATACAATAAGCATCGTACAGCTCCTCGACCTGGAGAAGCAAACATCGCACAGGTTTCAACAAATGGATGCCAATTCAGATTCTCATCAGAAGAGATAATGAAAATTAATATATTACGTGAATTTACTTTTCTTTCTTTCTTAGTTATCAGATGAAAATGGTCCGAAACATAAATATTTTTAAATGAATCCAATCAATTGTTCATGAATACACACCTTGCTATGGTGGAACTCCAGGCGACGCATAAACCTCTCTATCGCTTTCACTTGCTGCAAAAGAAAAGATGCAATTATTAAAGCTGACAAAGATGCAGAAAGTCCCACTTGCCTCTTTACAGTTTCACTGTGCTGCACCACCATCTGTATACAACAGGTGTAAATGCAACTCACCTTATCCAACTCATACAAAGACCCCTGCAAAAAAAACAGTGTCAAATTAACATCGTGACGGGAGACAACAGCATCCAGACCGCTATTGAATTACAGTTAATACTCTGGGATACTGGTTTGACCGCATGAGCTCTCACCAAACGGCCGTTCCTCTTGTTCTCTCTGGTCTGCTGACCCAAACTGTCCAGCTCCAGCTGGTGGACCTGCAAGTACGACCTGGCAACAAAAAAAACCCATCAGTGTTACTTCTTTTTCTCACTCAAAAACAACCACGTCCTTCGTGCTCTGTGATTTATTCCACCCGGCCGCCCGAGCCCGAGCCGTGTTTACTCACTGTAAGCCTCGGCGTAAGGCAGCGTACACTTCGTCCAGCCGCTCCGGCTGCGGCGTTTTAGTGAGCGGCAGTTTTGTGGAGCCTGTGAACATCCTGCTTCCTTACAAGGCACGTTTCTCTTGGATAAAACAGTGCTGAGGGAGGGGAGAAGAACATGGGATCAGGCCTGGGTGGTTATTAAAAAAATGAAAGCATGCATTACAAATCACGGCATCAAGGAAGTTGTCAGAACAGAGAAAGTGTAAGAAGGAGCGGCGCTCACCTGCGGAGTAAAGAGAGATTGCCTCTACTGTAGCATGCTCGGAGAGTTGAGTGCAGCACTGTGGCTTTAACAAACTGATGGACATGTCCTGTGATTACACAAAAACAAAACATTAGAGATGAAAATGTTCAACCTTCACTTGACACCCGACAGGATTTGTGTTCTCACTCTGTGATTAGGTAACTTAAGACAAAGAGTCCTGGTGGGAAAAGAGAAGATGGGAACCCTTCTTTCACTTCCTCGGTCGGGCCACATTTGTGTTGTCGAAAGACCGAGACGCTGAACGGACACGCACGCAGCAACCGCGGGGGCTGGCAACAGCAAGGAGTACAGTCTACGTCTCTTCCCCTTCCTCCCCTACTTCTCCACCCCCTCCACATCCAACGCCGGCCTACAGGAAGCCTCCTTTCTGACTACACAGGAAATTCTTCACAGACGTTTGCCTCAAGAATAAAAAAAAAACTATCCCTCTGCTCTGTGCCTCGATGTAAAAAATTCCCCATTTTCTACAGCAAATTAAGCCTTTGAACGTGCAGATTAGCGGCATGCCGCGCTCGGGGGAAACTCTAGGAAGAGAGGGTCGTGCATGAGCTAATCTGGTCACAAAAGAGATTACAGATTTAAACCAAACTAAAGCTGTCAAGCAGGAGTCAAGCCCATATTGAAACGTGGGATCTGTGAATAAGGCGACACCGGGCAGAGATACTGGTGACATATGCTGCCCCTTGTCCTACACTAAACCCAAAACCAGAGGAGAAATGTGTTATTGTAACAGATGGTATTAAAACGCCTTAAAACACAGATTATGGTTTAATATGATCGAAGCCTTGTTAGGGACAACATTGCTGATGTGAGAATAAGCTGTTTACACCCTGCTGTCTTTCTATGTTCTCCTACCACACAATGAGGACGTGGGCTCAGGGTGCACCAGGCCGGGGGTTCAGTTAAACCGCTAATCTCAGCTGAACATTGGGAGGATTACCTAGAGTCGGTCAGGGGTTAGAACCTGGCAAAGAAAAGGTGCCGTACCGGAGAGAAACACCCCCACCACCCACCACATTTGGCCAAACACGGCCAAAGAACATGTGCAGGCCTCAGATCTGCATCTCTGAGGTGGGCGCAGCCGTGAAAATGAGAAGTCATCGCGATGAGGCACAGATCTTCCACACTCCCACTAACCCATAAATAGCTCAGCAGAAACAGTGATATTGATTACTCAGAGTGCCATCTACTTCAGTCAGATGTGCTTTTATCCCTTTCCTTACATTAGAGATCATTAACTGGATTAATCGAATTAATTAATCTCCTCCGCGCAGAGTGAACAAAGAGGACACTGTTTCCAATCATCTCACAACACCAGAGCTTTGTTTAAAACTTTTCGGTTCACACTGTTCAGCCAGCCGATTGGTTTCACAACAATCTCAGAATAATTTCCCTTCATGGGTATTCTTTTAATTAATCCCGGATAATATATTAATCCCGGATTATTGGGCTGCAATAAAGGATTTGTATTATTTAATGTCCATAAAATGTCACAAAAAAGTAAATGAAGTCTGTCCATGTACCGTGTAAGATAAATAATATAAATACAATAAAGATTAAAAACGTAAATAGTACAAATCAGATACAAGTATCACCCTGAATAAGTAAATACTTTATTGTCAAATTACAAAATAAATAAAATCATTTGTCAACTATCAAAACAGTTAATGTTTGGCTGAAGGACTAATCAATGTTTGCCGAATAATGTCTTAAACCGTTTTAATCGAGCCATTAGTTTTGATCTACAATCAGAGTGGAGAGAAGAGAGGAAGGTTTAGAGATTAGTCAGAAGCATAACTGGAAGTGATTAGTCACTGGTCGATCAGATGATCCACTAGTAAGACTAATCATTGGAGCCGAGGGATGATTTTGGTGCAGATATAAACAACTACGCAGCACACACTGCTTTGCACCGGCGTCCACCCACACTTTCTCTCCCAGCGTGTCTGAGGAGGAAGAGGAGGAGAATCGCGGGCAATGGTGTTACAATAAAATGCAACCAGCTCCAACATCACTCTAGATTACTGGATTATCCTGACCCGGCGGCAGCAGCAGGCCACTGAGTCGGATCAACACGCGCTCACACATCACGGCCGAGCTCTTCACCTCAGACAGCAAAGGATGGAGCGCGAAACCCAAAACACTAACATGCAAACGAAGTGGAGACGGATTGTTTTTGTAAACCCCCCCCCCTCTCCCCTCCGGCCCCACTTAGCTCATCACAGGCCACGAAAAAAAAAAAGTGCACTCCCGTCCGCATCAGGACCCCCCCCCCCGCCACTACCACCCCTCCCCCGGACACCCTGCTGCCCGAAAGTATCGCTCCGCCGACCCGCAATGAACGACAACCACCGCGCGCAAAGATGATGGATCGAGTCACCCGCCGCCAACTGGAGCAAATATCCCTGATAACATCACAGAGAAAGCAACTTCACGTCGGAGGGACTCGGGCCATGTAAGAGGGAGAGAGAGAAAAGGAACGGGCTTCTTCTTCTGGGACCTCGCCGACGCACTCAGCCACCACCTACCTCTGTTTTAACGCGCGACCCCCCGCGGGAAACGTCCCGAGTCTCATTCCACCGCGATGGTCCGGACGGCTTGCGGAGATTTACAGTTATTCTGGGCGCTGTCCCTCTCCTCGATTTCGCAGTTTTTTTTGTGTCCACTTTCAAGCTAACGGTTGTTACCGCAGCTAACTTCCGGTTGTAGGTTTTTGTCGTAAGAGCTCAACATTAGCCAACATTTAGCCAATTTGAAAGCACAAATTTGCAAGAATAAAATGTACAGTGTTTTGGTACATATTTTCTAAGAAATATTTCGTCACAAGTCTCACGTATAATGTAAACACAAAATGACAGAAGTTGAACGGCCCAAGCATTGAACCCTGGGATACAACCAATAAAAAATGTCATTAAGAGATATAGTGTTTGTTTTCTTAGTGGAATAAAGTCAAGTTTCATTAACTTACTATTAAATTACATCTTTTTTCCTGATAATATTTTAATTTGTAAAAAACACCCTGTTTTGGTCCTTCAATCCAGACCTTGCAAGGTTTGCCAAAACACTGTGACCAAGTGACCAAGGAAAGAAAAGGAAACAAGCAGGGGAGTGATTCCTCCCTCTGAGCAGAAAGCATGAAGTGTATTAATTTTGCAATACCAGCCTACCAGATCTGCTCACTGAATTAGTGTACGAGTGAGAATGTAATTTAGACAAGATACAGCTCTAGATAAGCTATAAAATAGAGAAACAGTCTGTCAGTCACTAATTTAGATACCCACCATATGTACTCAACAAATATGAGCATAACAACACAGTATTACATGACACAGACTGATATAAAAATATTAGACAATCGTAAATTGATGTAAATCGATGATCGATTACAATCGTAATTGTAAAAAGTATACAGAGTAGACAGACCCTGGCAACCTCCTGTTCTCCTGGAAACATGGTAAACATCAGGGTGAATGGTGAATAAATGCTATAATTGATGTATAGATACAGCATCGATGACCAGCGACAGATACATAGGACCCTGCTCTGTGCTAGACTAATATGTAGTTAACAATAAATACACCTTGATGTAGTCAAACTAAACGAGCATCATACATTTATAGAACGGGATTTATTTTGAAGGGTTGCTCCTTGCAACCGGAAATCATGTTTTGGCTAGTTGCTGTGGCAACAAGGATGTCCCTCAGTCTGTCACGGTTTCCTCCGTCGCTGCTACGTCCACGGCGAATCCAACGGGAGGAGGTGGCGGGGGGGGCCATGGAGTTTCCCCAGAGGACAAAAGGGAGACATGTGTCCCAACTCCACCGCAGCTGCGGTCTCACCCAAGGGTGCCCCAGCGAACCGTGTGGGTCCAACGTGAGCGTTTCATTCCATCAGATGTGGGCCCCGTTTGTCAGAGTTTGGCGGAGCCGGGGGGAGGAGGGAGGAAGGGGGCGAGGAAGGACAACATGTGGCTCTTTTTTTTCTCCTCCAGATTTCCTTCAGAAAACAGGACGCAGCGGCCAACAAAACCTCTTGAGTTCTGCTTCAAAGTCTTCCAGATGAGTTAGTTTTTATGAAAGAAATGCCCATCGCGGGCGAAGACACAATTAACCCCACAACAATTCAGTGAAAGTGACGTTTTTAATGGATAGAAGAAAAAAATGGAGCCTAAACGACTCGACGGAGAAATAAAGTGAATGAAGACATGGACGTTGTTTAAGAGAGTAATGAGCGAAGTACTGAGCGCACAGCTGCGTCATGTCGCAGCAACGGAGAAGTGGAAATATGACAACCTCAAATAAGACCAACTTTCAAACACGGTTTAGGAAACTCATGCATTATAATCTCGTGAGAACAAGTAGAATGCGCCACTGGAGAGCAGTAAACCTGAACAAGAATCATGGACACGTACAATGAAACAGCAGTGAAGAGATATTTTTATTAGCACCAGCAGGCTTTTCTCACATGAGGCGGATGCACGTGACCGGTCACATGCAGTCACTCAGTATTTCTACATGCGAGCCGACTGGGAACCAGAAGGGATCTATACGAGTGGGGCTCCATTCAATTCATTCAACTTTGACTTGCCGGCTGTGTGCCAGTCAAAGGCTCTGGATGCATTTTTCATGTAGGAGGAAAAAAGAAGTGAATAACTTTAGATGGAAGCCAGGCAGCCTCCGCTCATGTAGAAGACAGACTCCTAAACTGTGGCGAGATGAAAATGATCTTAAGTCACATCTCAGAGCTACACAGAAATACAAAATTGAAAAATAAATTCTGGATGAAAATGTCATCGATCAGACACTAGTGCGGAGAATACACATACGGTCACAGAAAAGAGACCTTGATATCAAGTAGTCCATTTAATAAAATAGATTTGCAAGCAAAATACAGTGACATTTGTGTTGTTTCTCTGCTTTTTTTATGATAAACAATGCATCCAGACATAATTTCTTTCAGGGTTTGACCGTACTTCTAAAATGTTAAAATCTTCAAAACAGACTAATTTTAAATATCCATGATTGAACGGCAGAAGCCTAAAACTTAAGTCAGCTACTTAAAAAAGGTCGCAAAGTCCTAATTCTGTTCTCATATGCCAGTTATTCGAATGTCATTCAAGCTGCTACGTCGCATTGCCAATGGTACAAAAAAAAAAACACCAAATAAAAACAACCTAAAGTGGAATGGCTACAAAAGGGAGCAAAACCAAGTTGATTCCTTGAACTCGGACAATGTTTGGTACACACAAGTAATCTAAAGGCGTTACAGTAGCAAGAAAGGATCATAAGAAGCAGTTGAATAAGCTATAAAAAAAGAAAAAAAAATAGATTTGGATTTTTTTTTAAAGGAATTACTAAACACAAGAAGCCAAAATAAAACATTTTTTCTCTTAAAAAAGGTGGCCGTGATAAACAGCAGTATCATCTTCCTGAAAGTTGCCTCCGTGTCAGGGACTTACAACTTTGGCCTAAATGTACTTTTCCCCATTACAACTTTAAAAATGATGCTTTTCATCTCCAATTTTTACCGGAGAGCAGTTTCCTTTCCAGCTGCACAGAATTATTCAGCGAGGATATTGAATGTTGCCTGAAAATACTTATAAAAAAAAGTTGTATAAAGTCCACATTATGGGTGAGACTGCTATCTAGTTACAACTTTTACTCACACAGGTGTATAAACAAGTAAAACATAAAAACAGGCTTAGAAAGAGATATTTTATAAAACAACATGCACCCAGTCTAGATTTAAGGAAGTCAGTCTACCACGTTAAACATATTTCATGGACTAGAACGCAGAAGGACTCAATCATAGATTTTATGATGTATATAAAAAAGTTCCCTACCACATAACAGCTAAAGATACTGCTGTCAATTACCCCCTAAATTAAAATGTACTGAAAAGCATTTTTAGGAAGGAAATCCACAATAATCCAACTCGTCAACACATGATGACAAAGCCAATCTTATATTACAATTAAAAATGACAACATGATTATGGATCTATGCGTGTTTACAGGCTCAACTCTCAAATCCATCACCGGTCCATCATGCTCAGGATCATCTCGGGAGTGAGGTCTCCGTTCGGTGGGGCCTCAGACACCTCTGGTGCCGCCACCGCTTCCTGGGGCAACTCCTCCAGCTGGATGGTGGATTTCCCTTCACCGACCACAACCTCCTCTACAGCCCCATCAGTGGCCTCCTCCTGGTCATCGCGATCGACTCCAACCTCTTTCTTCACGATTATGTCATCCACTTCTCCAGTGACCTCGTCCTCCACGCGGATGATGGCAGCCGCTGTTAAGAGTTTCAGGTCAGACTTGGGTACTATGAGCCAGAAATATTAATTTAACATAAAAAAGGAGGGGTTGATTTTTTGTTGGTCTGATCATTGGCAGCTGTGGAGTCTATGTGGCTCAGAAGCGTGCACAACAACAACCTAAAAGCATTGGTTGCGAAACTTACTGTTTGGCTTATTCTTTGGGGGCCGTCCACGTTTCCTCTTGACTGGTGGCTCCACGGGGGCCGGTATAGGGACAACTGGTGGGTCCTGTTCCACCTCAAGCTCACTCAGCTCCTCTTCCTCCTCTACCTCATCCAGCTCATCTTCTACAAGTGACAGCGGAGGGACACAAGCAGATTACAGAATAGAACAACCACAACCAAAATTAATTGTGTCCTGGTTGGTGCTCTGGCACAAATCTTTAGCGTTACTACATATACAATACCTGTATCATCATCGTCCCTCCTGGTCTGCATCTTCCTCTTCCTGCCCCGACGAGCCTTTTTGGGGGCAGGAGTTCCATTCTCTTCTTCAATCTCACCCGAGCAGTTTTCGGTATGGCGAAGCATGGTGTTCTGTGGAGCGCACACAAACATCAGAACTCATTCCCATTCTGTAAAAAGGCAGGTGTGTGTGTGTGTAACAAAACAGTGCTATAAATCAGAACTCGGCCCTACCCTGCGGGTGAACGTCTTGTTGCACTTGCTGCAAACGAAGGCCGTTGGCACAAAGTTGGGATCGTGGTAGCGCTTGAAGTGCATGTCCAGGAGCTGCTTCTGCCTAAAGGTTTTATCACACTGACTGCAGGCAAACGGCTTCTCCCCAGTGTGGGTACGCTTGTGCATTACCATGTGGCGCTCCTATGAGGCAATACGTCAGAGATAAAGTCATTGAGCATGAAGACAAATGGAGACCATCATATTCCACTTGACACACCTGTCTGCAGCAGTAGTCACACTGCTCACACTTGAAGCGTTTCTCGTTCTTGTGGGTCTTCTGGTGTTGGATGAGAGCGTAACGCTCGTGAAACACAGCGTCGCAGTAACGGCATTTCTTTCCCTTCTCAAGAAACGAGTGCTGCTTCCGCAGGTGAACACCTGAGATCGAAGAAATGAAAATCAGTTACTCGTCGTGCAAGTGAAACAAAAACTAATGATTTTTTTTACTTTGAAGTTAAACGTAATTTTAAAAATGGCAACACACAACTAACCCAGGTCACTTTTGCGTGCGATGACAGTATCACAGTGTGGGCAGTGGAACTTGGCCACGTTCTCTGTGTGTTTCTGCAGAATATGCATCTTCATGGTGCCGCTTTGTGTGAAGCGGGCATGGCAGATGTAGCACTCGTACGGCTTTTCACCTGCACCAAAGGGGATAGAATTCAGTTCGTTGGGTAGTCTTCTCAGACTGGGAGCAAACTTTCTTGATGAGCAAGTAGGTTACCCGAGTGCGTCCTCATGTGCCTCTTCAGCTTGTAAGTGTCTCTGCTAGCATAGCTGCACAGACTGCACTGGAAGGGTCGCTCCCCAGTGTGAGAGCGAATGTGCCTCTTCAACTTACTCACCTACAAATAAAAGACAGCAAAATGAGTAAATGAAAGATTAACTGAGTCCTTAACACAGAACAACATGTGGTCACATACCTCCACGCTGCAATAGTCACACATGGAGCACTTGAAGGGCTTCTCGTGCGTGTGTTTGTAGCGACGGTGACGCACCAACTCACCGCTGGTCACAAACGCCATGTCACAATCTGTACACTTGTGTGGCCTAGTGCCTATAGAAATAAGAGGGACGGGAGAATAAAGAGACGCCATTTATTAACACAACATTTAAAAGATATATAATCTTATAAAATCCAGTTAGTTCTTCAACCAGCCAGTTACAAGAATCCGTAACCCAGAATTATTAGAAACTGTAGCAAAATGTAAACATAAATATGGTTTTCTGCATTACCTGTGTGTGTATTGAGGTGGTTTCTCAGCAGTGTGACAGTTCGAAATGCTCGTCCACACAAGTGACATTTATGCGGTCGCTCATCTGTGTGGCTCTTCATGTGTCGGTCAAGGTTGGAGCGCCGAGGACAGGTGTAGCTACACAACTCGCACTGGAACGTCTTCTTCACACCTGGACACGAGTATAGGTTTATAACAACATACATGTTTTTTTGGCATCATGTAGAGATATTTACAGACAAGGTATCAAACAAACCTTTTTTCTTGATCTTGGTGGGCTTTGGTGGCTTCATGTTGCCCACAACCTTCTCAGCATTCACTTCTGACAGCATCCCCTCCTGCTGCTCTTCTTCAAAGTCGTACACGGAAACATCCATGTCACGATTGCCCTCTCCATAGCGCAGGCGGCTCTTCTTTCCTTTCTTCCCTTTATTCCGTAGACTGCTGATGGGCTGGTAGTCTGGGTCTTTAGACCATTCTGGGTCTTCTTCTAGAGGCACAGTGGCTTCTACTTCTGCTGGCTCTTCTTCCTCTTCCGCCCCCTCCTCCTCCTCACCCCTCACCTCTAGAAGCTCGTCGTGGTCTGCCTCCATCTCCTCTTGCTCTACAGTCTCAACTTCACCATTGGCACCCACTTTTACCACCTAAAAGAAAATATCACATCACATCAGACTCTTTACAACAAAAGTAGTCCACAGACTTCTCAAGCTGCAGAGCAGCCCAGAATCCCTCCTTACCTGGAAGCCCTCAGGCAAGGGAAGAGTGTGACAGATAACCGGATCTGCGTCCTTGTTAGCAGTTGATGCATCCACATAGGTGGCTTGAAGCCCCTCAACAGTTGCCCTTGTGACAGGTACCTGGACCAGCTGAAGCTGACCAAGACCCAACGCTGCTCCGGTCTGCTCCTCCATGTTTACCACCTACATGGGAAAAAATAACATGTCCAAACATGGTCAGTAACTGATCAAGGCACCGTAGATGAGATTGAACTTTATCGCTTGACCAACCTGCAGCGTGATGATCTGTCCCTCATCTCCGCCAGTAACAGTCACTGTGCCGCCGCCCTCCAGCACCTCCGTCTTCATTTGCAGCAGAGTCGGATCAAGAGCGTCCATCACCACCATCCCCATGTCGTCGACCACCTCCCCATGTGTAGCTATGACGGCCCCTTGTATCAAACCCTCTCCACCGTCCTGCTGGACCTTTCCATCAGCAACTTGTGTGGTCTCCATGGAAACAACCTCTCCCTCCATGGCAACGGCCAATTAACAGCCTTACTAAAGAAGACAGAAGTTGGAAAATTATTTGATTTTTGATTAACTGAATGTGTGACCATTTGATGACCCAGATCAAATAATACTTTCTGCTCAGCATAGCGCATTTCCCTTACATTCAGTATAAAAAAAGACTCCCAACTACAAGTCCTTGTGGGGTCGACTAGCTCAATCCTAAATATACCGGTCGATACATGAACATGACTGCTTTCATTGACCGACTCTTAACACCAAAGCAAACACAAGGACGGACCCCTGACTCACCTGACCGGGCAAAGGAGAGCATGAGTCAGACTAACTAGTAGCTGCAGGTTGGAGCACAACTTAAGTGAACGAAAAGTTTGCGAGGAAGCAAACCGCGCGAGTCTAGCAGGTGTAGCTCCACCAGATGGTGGAGCAGGGCAGCGAGGTACGGATTCAACTTTAGAAAAGCGGGCGTTTAACGTAAAGTTGGCGTTACGTCTTCCTGTGTTGATGAGACAATGATAGCGCTCGACCGCGCTATCGATACTTCGGGGTCACGCGTTGCACCGTTTCAGGAACATTTGAACGTTTATCGTTTTCCCAATCCCACGATTCAGTTTCCACGGTTAAAAAACTAGCGCGTTGTTTAAGCTACAAAGTATTCACACGTCCACTCGGGTTCGTTAACACGGGAGGCGCGAGCGCGTCTGAAAACAGGAAACAAAGGGCACGATAAGATGGACGTCTGGCCCGAACAAACTTAAAACAGAAATACAGAGAAATATAACCATCCCTGTGCAAATACCTCACAATATAGAACGACGGCACCGAACTGCTCAACGGAGACATAGAGTTACCGTTTATAGACAGATTTAGTGCGTTTTGGATAACGATAGAGGGAGACAAACACCCCCCGCCAGCCGCCCGGTCGGTAAGCCCTACCGTGACACCTAGAGGCCGGCGACGGCTCCTACAAAAACGTTTCCGTGTTCGGAAGAGAAGCGACAACTTCACTTACTCCCGAAAGCTTCTTTCCTTCGGTTATATCGAGCTGGATGTTCGCTGCATGGGGTCGTTGCCCTTCGTCCCGCCGTTAACGTCCGTGCGTCGCTGTGCGCTCGCACTAATAGTTTTCTCCCGCTTAGGAAGAGTGGGCCTTACACAAAATGGCGGCCGTTAAGTGCTGTTGCGCATGCGCGTCCACGGCACCCGGGGGAGGGGTCGAGCCGACACGGGGGGAGAGGGGGGGCTGGGCGCCAGATTTGAATTCCACAGTGGGCGTGGCCAAACGGAGAAATGACGACGTTACAAACTGAACTGAGGGGTTGGTTGATTCGTGTTTTTTGGCAGATTTCTATTGCCGGGACGTGACTTCTGGAACCTCGTCAATTTCTATTCGTATTTAAATTGATTTTACAAGTAATTTGGTTGATTTTGGCAATTCATAAAATCTGTCACAAGAGGGCAGTGTGGATGGTGAAAGTTAGGTGTGGTGCAAGTCTAATACATCTCACCCCAATTAATTTTGTGGTTTTGTTGCACAATTGTATATGCAGGTAATCACCTGAATAATAGTGTGTTGCCACCCACTGGCAGCTAAAATTGTCATGTCACCATAGATCACTGCTGGTAGAGAAATGTAACTTAGCGGGAGGGCCCAACATCTTACTTTTATAACAGTTCTTCTTGGTACTTCTTGCCCCCGTATGTGCTGTCAGATAAATATAGTAGGTCACAGGTTATTTCTTACCCTGTTAGAAATAGTAAGGATGTTTTCATCAAAAGTATTTCTATACGCAAACGCATAAGTTTATAAGAATAAAATATTTAATGTTAAATTTGATATATTTTTACAACAGGAACGCAGTCAGCTATAATCCCATTAAAATCACCAGCATTCAGCATTTGTTACTGCTATTTAAATGAATATATTTTCATTTTCCATATTTTACGTGTGGGTGGCAATGTTACAATCTACCTATACTGCCTACTCCCAGACCAAAATAGCTGATGCCATATTACTCCTCGTGGAAAACCATGTGTTCAAAAGTGTAAAGAAAGTTATGTAAGAAGGGGAACAGTGCTTTCAGAAAAACAGAAAAGAAAGATGATCGATAGAGAAATTGTGCAGAATTTGCCAATTTAACAGTCAATCTTTTAATCTTAAATAGCTTCTCATATCTACTAAAGCCAGAGTATGATACAGTCTCAAACAGGGAACTGAGTTGCCTTGTTTGAACATCAAATATTTAAAAATAATTCCCTTGAAACTCCTTTAATATGCACCCAGGGGAGTAGTATAATTAAGATATATACATAGACGTTTGTGCTTGTGGGTGTCGGCCTGTGTTTTATTTAATGCTTTCTGAGCAAATTGTACAGCTTAATACCAAGGCTATTCTCTGTCACCAATGAGACCACTTTTTTTTTAATTACAGCATTTTCTTTCCGCATATTAAATAAATTATTAATGTGTTATATAACCCAAAAGAACATGTTCATTTCAGATATTTCGGCTGCAGCATCTCTTTGTGTATTTACTTGTCAGAGACCAGGATGCCTGGTTGAAAATGAAATGCCTTCGTGATCACCCCATTCCTTCATCTCTTTGCCTCATCTTATTTTATCACCATTATTTTCTCTCTTGGTTTTCCTCTTGAAAGGGAGGGGGCCAAGAAAAAAGAGAATCTGATGTCAAATCTGTCAGTCTAGCCAGCCGGGCCCCTCCTACCTCAGTGGAGGCATTACATACTGCTCCTGCTCCAGCTCTTAGCAACCGTGCCTCAGCAACAGAGCCACGGCAACAGAGCTCCACGGCAACAGCGTGCCGTGTCTCCCCAATGGAGCTGCCGTTGGGCGGACCAGCGCTCAGGCACTACACCCATAGCAGACCGAGACCTCACCGACAAAAACTGAACTATCGTCCCAGCAAACCACAGGTACTGTGAAGGAGGATGGGCGAGGTCTTTTTTTAAAGATGGGGTGTGAAAAAGGCGGTGTGTGTGTGTGTGTGTGTGTGTGAGGAGAGAAAATGGAAGGGAGGGAAAGAAGAGAGATGTAATAGGGTACAGAGGGGAGAGGCAGGGGGAAGGGAAGGATGGAGGGGGTGCGGTGTAAACGATGCTTGGTCCCTGCTTGAATGAGGGAGTCCCATTGTACCGGTCACCGGCTGTTTGATGAACACACACTTGGCATTTTGTGTGTGTAATAGCATCATGACAACGTACAAAGAGCAAGCGGCACCTTGGTCTGAATGTCTTCTCTTTCTCTCCCTGAAAAAAAAAATGTATGTGATCATCTCCTATTTTCCACTGAGCTGGTCGTGTTGTCACAGAGCTATTAGGTTGTCGACACACAGTCACTCCCTTGAAGGGCCAGGGAGACTAAATACAAGCAATTCACCAGACAGGATAACAGGTATCCGTGACTTCTGCAAAATGTGTGTTCTGGAGTTAACCTACTGGTTTGTATTACTATTGTGGCTACAGAACAGGATGATGTCACCCATTACAACTGCGGTTTTAGTATCATACCTACATTCTGCTAAATGAGTTATCTTGCTTTCATTCTGCATGTAAAATCCAGTGACACTCCCCCAGAATTGTACATTACTGAGCGATTGACTCCCAGGAGGCTGGTTTGAGGCATCGGATGAAAGATTCAAACCAAAATACCCCCCTATAGCAGAAAAATAAATAATAGTTCCAGAATGTGTTTTTTGAAAATGAAGGTTATGAAATATAAAGTTTGTTTCATCTTTGAAGTGAAAAGTATTTTCTGTGTATGTGTTGTAGGAGACAATAATTGAGAGTGACAATGAAGTCCTTGAGCTCATGGGGAGAGTGGATGAAGGAGTTGAAGAGTTCTTTACCAAGAGAGTACTTCCTACTGATACACCGTGAGTGTCTGCCCAATTTTTCTCTTTATGGTTCCTTGATATTTAGCCAACCTGTAACTGCATTGATGCACAACAAATGAATGCATGCAGTATTTGTTTGATATACATTATATTATCCTGAATGTAGGGAAAATCAAGATGAGGAATCTATCACAGTGCACGAAGTGGCCCCTGCAAGCTCGGTTCCCTGTCCTCCCCCGACAAAAACCCTCAGGAGGAAGCTCGGTGATTTCTTTACACTCAAAAAGAGACGAGGTCTGAAATCCGAAACCAGTCAGGACGGGCGACCAAAAAAGACCTCCATCGCTGATCTCATCCGCCCGCTCAGGGAAGTCACCAGAGCTGAGAAAGAAAAGGATAAGGACCGCGTCAAGGAACACGACAAGGAAAATGAAAAGGAGAAAGCCAAAGAACATCCCGGTGCTGTTTCTGGAGAGTCGGCTGTTCAGGAGACCCCTGGTGCTCAGCTGAGGGGTGAAGTGGTGCCTCCCCGTCGAGCTCTAAGAGAGGGAAAGTCCCAGTCTCTCATCTTGCTGTCTGGATCATCAGCAGCAGCAGCAGGGACGGCCAATGCAAGAAACACTTCAAAGGTGGGTGCTAGTAGAGTTTCAGTCATATGTGCATTTAGATTTGTTTTAAAAATCACTCACTCACGCCGCTCTTGCTCATTTCAGAAACAGCTCGAAGGCCAACACAGCTTTGAACAGAAACTCCATCTCATGCTTCAACGTATTGGAGTTTCCAAAACCCAGCCAGGGGGGACGCAGGTGGGTGAATGTGCACATCTAACTTTACAGATGTATGTACTGTAGGAGTCTGCAATAGTAATAAATACTTCCTTTCTTCTCGTAGAATCAGGAGGGAGAGATGAAAAAAGCAGAGTCTGAAGGTGTGTCTCTTTTTCTAATAGACGCTTTTTGCATTAGTGTTAAAATCATTATTCATCTTTGAAGTTGAGGAATTGTTTTTATTAGAAGGAGAGACTTTTTAACACGGAAAACTTTATCTTATCTCTTTGGGCTGATAAGACGTCTGTCAATCTAATAAAGTGACCTAATAGTGAATTAATTGTGCCTTAGGTACTATCATTGAAAGCAAACCTGAGCCACCTCCTACTTTCACAAAACCTCGAACGATGTCTGCGTCCTCAGGTAAAGCTCACTGACTGAACCATCTCACACAGTTTGTCTCTGACAGACAAAATAATTGCAAATACATCCCTTTTTTTCTGTAGATACAAGGCATCAAATTCGCTCAAGTGTTTCGGCACACGAGTCCGCTGGGAAACCCGCTTTGCTCCCAAAGCCCGTCATCAAACCGGGTCCGCCCCGCTCAACATCTGGTCGCAACACACCTGAGAATGAGTTAGCCCAAATACAGGAAGGAGAGTCAAACACACCCACTAAACTGAGCCCAAAAGCAGCTTCACCTGCACCTGCTGCTCCCGCACTCACTGCCCCCACCACTCCCACTGTACCGACGACCGCAAAGCCAGTCACCGACTCAACCCGATGTACAAGTACTGTTCCTCTCTCTGATACAGACATGGGCACCGACTCTGTCGACCCCAGTGTAGCAGCTACGACCCCCACCAATGTACCGGAGCCTGACAGCGAGCCTCCAGTCCTTGAAGCTAATGGTACTACCCCTGAACTGCCCACCTCCACCTTTCCAACAACCCTTTCGAGCACTACTACACCCACAGAGCCCCCCGCCACTGTTTCTGTTTCCGAGTCCATCGCCCCATGTCTCTCTGTCACCTCCACGTTGGAGACAATTTCTGCTCCCGGCAATGAAAGTTCAGTTTCCACAACATCAACAAATCTGTCAACTAAATTGACTTTCCCAGAGCCAAATGGTGTCCTCCTGGTCGACGCTGCTCCGGCTGCTTGTGGTGATGCAGCTATTTCTGCCATCCCCACAGCTTCTTCACCCTCCGCCAGCATGTCAGAGATGCCCCCATGCGTGTCTTCCACCGTCACTTCAGTAACTGGAGCTCGTAAGGATGCAACTTCAGTCACATCCTCCGTAACATCGGTGACTGAAACAACATCTCCACCTCCAAGTCCTTACATTACAACTGTGGTTTCACCCGTCGCCTCCATTACCTCCTCTTCCATTCTGACCCCTTCTGCCCTTCCTCCGACCATCTCCACCTCTTCCATTACAATTACAAGCCCTACAACCAGCGACTGCATGAACTCTCTCTCTACATCCACCATTCCTCACCCAGCCTCACCCAGCCCTGCTGAAACCTCCGTTCCTTCCACTTCAACCAGTGAAACAAACCCCACTGACACCACCTCCACCGCCACCAGTTTATACCGCGTTAGATACCACTTCCACCACCAGTTCAGCTAATGCTGCTGCAATTTGCTCTCCACTTATGACTGACTCAGACCCGCTGTTTACCTACGACGCAAACACCACTCTCCCACCCACTATTGATAACTTGAGTGCTGCTGCTCACCATTTGACGAGTCCAGCCCTTTCTAGTGATAATACCAATCAAGATTTGCAGACATCTCGTGAAGAAAGACCCAGTGTAGAACCTGCCGAAAATGGCACTGGTAAGCTTTGAGTTCTGTGAGTACGTCTTGTATATAATCCTTTGCCTTAACATCCATGTTAAATGCATTTTTTATGTATCTCATCAGCAGATGAAAAGGTTAAGATGGTTCAAAAGAGCAAGCAAAGTGAGATGGATGAGTGCAAGAAAGTTGTCGACGGCGGGAAGGAGAACAAAAACGAAAACGAGAAAGCCGTTCTCACTGCCAACGCTGAAGTTAGGCTACAGGAAGAGCGGGACGAAAATGTGACACCTGACGAAGACACAATGAAATCAGTTGGAACGGTGGAACCTGCATCAGGGAAAGATGGTGAGCTGTGCAGAAACAAGGAGGAGATAGAAGGTCAAAAACAAGAACAGGGTGAGGAGTAACTAAAAAATGTTTTAAATTGCTAAACACGGGACCAACTACTGTGACGGTGCAGGAGAGACAACAGTTAAGGTTAAAGGGGGGAGGGGGAGACGATCCATGGCACTTTCTACAGGGACCACCACATTGCAGCAGGACACCACGAAGGGTGCGCCACTGAACCAAATGACTGGTATCCCCTTGGTGTGATGTAATCAACAATTCCAGCAGTGTCTTTGTCCTTTTTTAACTTATGTTCAAAATTTTTTGCATTGCACGTATGATTATGTACCATAAGAAAAGTACTGTGGTAAAATACACCATGTTTACAATAGATGGATAAGAGACATAGTTATGAATATTAAATGGAATATTGAATTAACAGATCGTTTGCCCCTTTTTGAGTCAATATATTATTTCTAACAAATTAATTTTTATCTGACAGGAAAATCTTCACTCAAGGTACACTTGCTTGCTAATTCGGGAGCCCATGGTCTTCCTCGGTTGCCATGGAGATATCTCAGTTGTTATCACAGTTGGTTATATCATTGCCACTGTTACAATAACGCCATTTGGTGCCAGAGAAGCCTGAGAAGCCTGAGCAAACTCCATCTGCTAAGGAGGACGATATGCAAGACCTTGAGTGAAGGGTTTTTTGTCTGTTCCAAAGCTCAAGAATGAACCTTCATGATGACATCAATTTAAGCCTCTTTGGATTTGAAATGTTAATACATTTTATTTATTCTAATATGATATAACATACATCTGCAATGGACCAGGCAGAATATATAGAAATATATATAATTGGAAGCATGCTAGATTAAACTGCATTTCATCAATTTCATGGCAGTTTTCAAGTTGATTCTAAAGTCATATTTTACTAATTTTTCACCGCACTGCTGTACCTGCAGCAGAGCTCAAATAACAATTACGTCTCATCTTTATCCAAACCAATTTTTCAGTTGTTATCAGTCAAATCCTTCCTATAAAGGCTAACATTATTTAACTGTTTTTTAATGTTGTTGTTGAATTGTTCTTTAATTAATTAATCTTCTTTTAGATTATTTTTTTTAACAGACCCATGTACATGAGAGGCCAACACAAAGACCTTCTGGCATGAGAGTGAAAACAATTAAAGCACAGGGAGTTTTATTTTAGGTGCCATTAATGTACAAAGACAAAGAACATGCACTTTCCTTATAGAACGCTATATTTACATCAGAAACACGCAGGAGACTTGATTTCGACGTACGTTCAAGCCGCTTGTATCCGATTCAGAAAGGAAAGGAAACCAAGACAGACGTTCATCACCCCCACCGGCAGGGGGCGCTGGCGCGGACACCCTCCACAAAGACGCACTTCCCCCGGAAAAGGGAGGACCGACGAGGGAAACGACGGCCGAGGAGGAACCCCGTTCTCGCTGATCGTTCGCACAAGTGTGAAGCCTCTCTTCGTCTATTTAGATAAACCCCCGTAACGCCGCCACCGGAGGTCCATTCGCCGGAGGATCGAGCCTCGCCGCGCACGCCTCAAGAGATGTCGGTCGCGCCTCCCAGCCGCTCGGCCGCCGGCTGGCCGCGCGGCGGAGCCGTTCAGTTTGGGAACAAATACATCAGCGGGCCCGCGAAGGCGCTTTCCCTGGAGAGGACCATCAACCTGTGAGTCCGCCCGTGCGCGTGCGTTAAATACGGCTCCCACCGGTGCATAAAAGGGGCGCACGTTGAGTTCGTTAACAAAGACCGACGGCGTGGTCTCGGTAGCTTAGATGTTTTTTTTTATTGTTTTGGGGGGGGGCCGGCATGTTTTTTTGCGCCAAGGATACGGATCACGTCAAACGCTACACAATGCATCGGTGAACGGGATGCGGCGTTTGGGTTCGATGCTCTCCAAGAATTTCTCAGAAATGTTGGTTTAAATATATATGAATAAAAAAATAAATACATTTTAGATACCCCACACTTCAGCTCCTCCCCTATGACTGTTTCCTTTGTCTTCTATTATATGAAACTAAGGCTCTTTTGTTTCTAGTCCGCTGGTCAAGAAAAGCATGCAGTCCTTTGCTTTTTTTATTATTTATATTTGCGTTTTATTAAGTTGCTATTATTCACCGTTTAAAGTGAAAATTAGTTAGTCAATAGGTGGTAGAATCAATTGAAAGTAATTGTTTGTTGCAGGCTTAAATCAACATTGAACAGTACACACTATTGAGTTCTGATCATGCTTAATGGCGTTTCATGTTTGTTTGTACTCCAGGTACCCTCTAACCAACTACACCTTTGGAACCAAGGAGCCTCTGTACGAGAAGGACAGCTCTGTGGCTGCCCGCTTCCAGCGGATGCGTGAAGAGTTTGATAAAATGGGAATGCGGAGGACAGTGGAGGGTGTTCTCATTGTCCATGAACACCGGCTGCCTCACGTGTTACTGCTGCAGCTGGGCACCACTTTCTTCAAACTGTGAGTAGTTGATGTTCAGAGGCTCCTGCGTGAAGCGGTGGAAGCGTTTTTCTTTTGACCGAACTGATGGTTTGCTTCTATCCTGCAGGCCCGGTGGAGAGTTGAGTCCTGGAGAAGATGAGGTGGAGGGTCTGAAACGCCTGATGACCGAGGTGGCTGCATCACAGTTGCAAAGTTGAAGCTTCTTGGTGCCGTGGTGGATTGTTGAGTTTACACATGTTCATTTTTGTTTTGACATTAGATCCTTGGAAGGCAAGATGGCGTGAAGCAAGACTGGGTGATTGACGACTGTATCGGCAATTGGTGGCGCCCGAACTTTGAGCCTCCACAGGTTGGTGCAAACATGGCAGTGAAATGTTCTGAGGGGTCAATTAATTTAATAAACAATTTTTGTAGATGTTATTTTCAATATTTGAATGGAAATCAGTGTGGTATTAACAAAGAGGAGGTGATTTAGCTTTTTTTATTCATTCAGGAGGAAACGTCAGAATGCACTTTGAATTACAAGCTGATGTTGCATGTTTAAGTCACAATGTACTTTATATCTGTGCACTGATGTGAACTCATCCAAAGATGTTTGTCTTGCAGTATCCGTATATTCCAGCTCACATCACTAAACCCAAGGAGCATAAGAAGCTATTCCTGGTTCAGTTGCAGGAAAAAGGTCAGTATATAACAGCATTACATGTGAAATGATTGCATGTTAGCATTGATTTTTAGTAAAGAATAAAGTTCGGGGAGACGTGTGGATAAATATTGCATTGGTTCTTGTTTGTAAATCTGTGATTCATGTTTCTGCAGCGCTGTTTGCCGTCCCCAAGAACTATAAACTGGTGGCAGCACCTTTGTTTGAACTGTATGACAACGCTCCTGGATATGGACCAATCATTTCCAGTCTTCCGCAGCTTTTGAGCAGGTATAGTTTATGTCATTGTGGAACGAGCCTGAATTGAAATGAAACACTTGTATTTTTCTTTTCTTTTCTCTTTTTTGACTGTCATTGGCTTAATTATAAACAGTAGGGTTGAAATCAAATATCCTCGCGAGAACTGTCCATACCAAGGATTTGCTATGTACAACCGCTGACAAATCTGTATACTCTGTAACTTTTCTAACAAATCAATCGGCTTGTATTGTTCATGTTTTGAAATGTAACATAATAAACATTTGTATCAACACCAATTAACAGTGGAAGCACATTGGTTTAAATACTTTCATATTTGCAAAGTTCGAAGGCTGCAGATAAAGATAATAATTTAAAAAAACAATTATGAAGTTATGTATGCAGGCGTATGTCCCTTATCCACATTGCATTCCCCTCCAATGGCCCAGTAACAAATTCAGGTGTGAGTTTTGTGAGACATTTTGACTTTAAATGACTTAAAACAGGCTTACTACTTACTAAATCAATATATATATATATATTGCAAAGAATGATATATTGGAGTGGAGTAATACATAATACTAATTCTTCTCCTAATTCTCTGAAAGTTAACGGGCCAGTGTGTCGCATTTTATATAATATTCCTTACTAATGTTTCCATTATGTATCATCACTTCAATCTAAGAACTGTTTTTTCGGCTTTAAATGAGCCCTTTGTATTTTCAAAGGGTTCTGGTCCTCTTCATGTAATCCGTGTTTCTACAACAGATAAACCGAACGCTGGTATTTTTAAGTTAGCCGAAATCAAACCGTAGTTCTCTTAAACGCTCAAACTGCGTGAACTTGAGCCGGCGAATGCAAATCCAGGTTCCACCAGCAGACGTCTGACTTTGGTTCTCCTAAAGTAGAGTGACTTGGTAAGGGTGAGTAAGGCAAACCATGTTAATGCAGTTTATCATCCCATTACTTCAGTCTACCACTAAATCCTACACACTGTCCTTTTGAGGGAGTCCGAGGCAGGTTTTCACTAATCTATCATTAAGATCAAACAAATGTGTTGTCTGGCTGTCTCTCTGAGTGCAGTGTGAATGAAGATGAGAGACAATGTGGAGAAAAAATATACTTATTTTAAAAGAAAAGCTTTTAATGTTGGACATGTGGGATGTTTATACTATTGGAAGATAATATCGGTCTTTTTTTATATTGACAAAGAATACAAGTCTGTAGTCCAGTAAAGAATCAGATTTTATGTTCAAGAGCAATGTTGATTAAACAAACTACACCCTTGCGATTCCTGTTCATTTTATCTTGTAACAATGCTGTTTTTCTTTTTAATAAAGCAGTCCTTTGAATAGGTTTTCATATAGCTTTGGATTTTTTCTTTTAATGCCATCAAGTGAACGTGTAAAAATATTTCAGTACGAGTCACTACAAGGGTGTTTCTTACTTTGTTTAATGTGAAATCTTTAAACTGCTGGACTTATTAAATAATAGTTGCAAGTAGGAGACTTAATTGACACACACACAAAGTCCTGCTTCAAGGTTTCTCAAAGTTTTTCTCCGCGCTGAATATAAGAAGATCGACGTACTAATACAATGAGGGCTCTGGGCAAAATTCAGGTGCTGGTTAACAACCTGGGATGTAGACCATCATCGCACAAATATTTTTACTCTAAGTTGACCAGGGACACAATGTGTATCGCCAGAGTGAACAGACTGTCGTCTAAGTAATATTGACTAAAGAAAAACATTAAAGTTTTCCCACCAAAGGGTTGTTATCCTAAAAGCTCTCTTTGCCTCTCAAATCTAATGTGCATGAAGTCTACACGTTCAAGTGTTGCACAGTAGAACTATGTTTATACTGCGTTTACTTTTCAGGACAGAGGATATGTGGTCAGTCACGGCATCTGTAATGCAAAACAATTCAGTACAAAGTTTGTCCAGAATCAGAAAAAAATATGATTTAGTAGTCATTTTTCACAAAAATATATTTTGCATCAAATGCCAGTGTATACAATAAACGAGAGAGAATAGAAATATAGGAACACTACTGCAAAAGCCAAGAAGCTAAGAGTGGAATAAAAAAAGAATATTGGTATGTTTATTGTATTCATTACAGTATTCAAGAATAATATTTACTACCGTAAGGTGAAATCTTTAATAGTTAACTGACCTGGTTGCTTTGAAGATTAAACATATATTTAGTATTTTAATCACTTCGGGGTTTTTCAAAAATATCATGGAATTTAACAAAGTATTTCCCTTTAGTTTGCCAGTGCTGCCTGAGAGTCTAAATGCAAGACAAACATGTCGTCTTTTCTAAAACGTCATTTCCCCGCGTCGCCGCAGATACGTCACCCACACGCGTCACTGGTCTGACTCCACCGTCGAGCTGCGTGTTTAGCTGCGTGTTTACCTGCTTGATCTCTAACAATGGCGTCCAGACGACGGGCGGGTGACAGCCTGAAAACTGACAAGAAGAAGAAAAGGAAGAACAAGACGAGGTGTGAGGAAGCAGCTGAGCTCTGTTCGCTCGTAGAAGACGAGCAGGTGAAGAAGAGCGCGCAGGAGGCGTGGAGCCAGAGGACTTGCCACAGACACGGTGACTCTCTAAAGTCACGTTTCCACATTACGAGACAAATGCACTTGACACGGGAGATCGTTTGGGGAAGTAACGTTAACGCACTGACAAGACCCGGCCGGTTAAACTGCTCAATGATCTTCAGCTGGATGTTTTATTATTTTGAACCTTTTCAACTTTATCAAGCTTGGTTTTCTAAATAAAAGTAAATAGGTATTCACCGCCACAGAGACATTTCTCGCCCCGGTTCGTCTGGTTAAATTAAATTATATTTTCCTTCTGATAGAGGTGGACATTATGTAAAAAGTATATTTTTGTTATGTTTTTACTTTGGTTTAGTGACTGTCGCAAATACTTTACCAGAGCCTTTCCACAAGTAGCAGTGACTCATTGTCCGCAAAATACATTACATGTCATTTGGCTGACGCTTTTATCCAAAGCGACTTACAATAAGTGCATTCAACCATAGGGATACAAACTCAGAAGGACAAGAAATAAGATAATAATTAGACAAGTCACTCAGCACTTTACGTACGGTCTTTTTTTGATTGTGTGCAGGAGACCTGGAGTTGGACTGCCACCCTTTCCCTCACTGCATCATCAAGAACTTCCTTGCCAGCGAGAGCTTCGTGGAGAGCTTGCAAAGAGAACTGATGGATCTCAACTTCCATGAGAAGTCAAATGATCTATACAAATTTAAACAGGTGTCTTTTATAAGCTGACTCTCTCACTGATTTATTCCTGGGTTTTTTTGTGTCGTTATTTGATCATCTTCACTCTGTTAATGCTCCCACACAGTCAGACGACTTGAAGAAGAGAACAGAGCCACATATCTCGGGGCTGAGGTAAAAACAACTTGTGTGTACTTTGATTATTACTGTATTGTTATATATTGTGAAGTGTGGAAGTGTGCTTTGAAGAGCGGAAGCTTATTTTGTTGGGTGGGAAATATGCTAACAACTTGCTTTTCATTACAGGTCATGTGTTCCTAACCACACCTGACCTAAACACATGGACTTAATCAAGTTGTTGCGTTAGTGTTCATTTTATCTCGGTTCTCACTTTGTTTCCTATTGGAAAAGGAAATGCATCCAATTTATTTGTCCATTTGAGTGATATCTTATTTCGTACCTGAGAAAGAGAGCAGTCTCAATATAAACCAAAAGGGCAAAGGTTTTTTTGTTGTCTTCGGTATTAGTCTGCGTTGTTAATTGTAAAGTTTTTTTCTGTAAAGAAGGAATTCTGTAACCATAATGCCGAAGTGGTTGGAGACATGTTTATCAGCTCCACCAGGTGGAGCCAATATCACATCTGCCTCCTAATGACTGCGTCTTTATTTAGCCTATTTATTCTGACAGCATTAGCATGAGGCATGGGGGGCTGCGCTGGGAGCTCAGTGGGCAATGCACTCAGCGGCAGCAGCAGCTCACCTGGTGATAATTATTAAAGCGGAAAGACCTTTTCTCGTTTCCAAAGGGCTGTTGACTAGCATCCTGTAATTTATTACAGCAGCATAAATCTTGGTTCCTTCAAATCAATGACAAAACATTATTGTTGAATTATGCAGCAGCAAAAACTGTTTAAAGTCCACAAAAAGATCTCAGTGGATGAATCAAAACTCCATGAGCTGGGTGTCAAATCTGAATTTTAGGCAACCCCTCTGGGACTCGTACATTACCCGGGATAGCAAAGTATTGTGCCAATCTTTCCTTTAAAAAAAGATGCGTAGTTATTCTATCACAACTGTGACACACAGGGTTTACGCACACACAATAATGGCCTCCTCTTGTGAACATCTATTATTTATGTCACAACAAAATGTCACGGTAGGGTGGAGCGGTCCAACTATCCCTCTGTGTGGAGATGCTTTTCAAAAAGCTTCATGTTTATACAAGGGGAAAGGTTCAACCGGATCAGGATTGCACCATAAATGCTTCTCTTGTGCCACAGAGCAGCACTGTTTGGGCGTTTCCGCTCCTGGCTTGGAGAAGTGTTGCAGGTTGAACTGGAGCCCATAGTGGATATTTCTTGTGCCAAATATGAATACACAGGTGAGCTTTGTTTCAGGTTAATTTAGGAAGATAACAACATGAATCCCCCACCACCAGCCCCCGCAGATGTTAAGTTCTCTCTTCTTTGTAGACGTCCTTTTGTGTCACGATGATGAATTGGAGGGGAGGCGTGTTGCTTTCATTCTGTATCTCGTGCCTCCGTGGCAGAGCAGTGACGGGGGAACCCTCGATCTCTACACAACAGACAGTGAGTGTCCCACTCTGTATGTGTGTGCAGGAGAATATCTGTGTTTTTTTTGACAACTCTTATGTAATTTCCATCTCTGTCATCAGGTAATTTCCAACCGCAGAGTATAGTGAAGTCACTTGTACCCTCTTTGAACACGCTCATACTTTTTGAAGTTTCTCCAGTCTCCTTTCACCAAGTAAGAGAAGTCGCGCCCGCCTTTTTTATTGTCACTGTAGCGCTGAAATAAATGGCTGTGATTGCAGACGAGATGTGTTGCGTTTGTCCAGGTGTCAGAGGTTTTGACGCAGGACAAGTGTCGTTTGTCTCTGAGCGGCTGGTTTCACGGGCCGCCATTGGGGCGGCCTCCTCGCCACAGAGAGCCCGCTGTCTTACGAAGCCCACACTTACCAAGAGATGTGAGTGAGGTCGAACGTTCACACTTTCCCAAAATGACAAACAATTCCTTTAACTGACTGCTGACGTGTGTGTTGTTTTTGTATGCATGACAGGAAACATTGCTGCTGGAGTGGGTCAACCCAGCGTACATGGACTTATCCTACCAAGAGCAGATTCAGCAGGAATTTGAGGACAGCTCTGAAATTCAGCTCAAAGATTTTCTCAAGGTATCTTCTCACTCGTTCTTTTCTTCCTTTGGCGTGTCCACCTGCTCCTGTCGGTTGATGGAGTGTTTGTCTTTAGGAAGAGAAGTTCAGGGAGGTGAAAGAAGCACTGCGACTCACCCAGATCGAGTGGGCAAAGAGGGGACCTCCTAACAAGAGGTAGGACACGTTTCTGACATTATTAAAGAGCATATTCAAAGACTGTGATTACAGGTCCTGTATTTATACCCATTTAGATGCTACGAAGTGGCCTCCCTGGGTACACTGCCCCAGTGTGTGAGTGCATGTTGGGAGCTGCTTTCTTCAGAAGCTTTCTTCCTGCTTCTCTCCAACTTCACCGGCCTTCGATTGCATTACCTGTGTCCTGCTGATGATGATGACGCTGAAGAAGAAGAGAGCGAGGATGTACGGAACGCAGAAGCCACAGGGTCTTTGACGGAATCCCCATCAGCAAATGGGAGCGGAGAGAAAGGTGTGTATGTGTGTTTCCTCCCTCAGTCGCAGGTCTTTTTGGCTGCTGATGTGTGTTTTGACCTTTGGGTTTTCTTTAGAGCTGAGCACACCTGTGCATTGTGGAGAACTGCGTCGATGGTCTCATGGCGGCTACACTCTGTTGCACGATGCAGAAGCAGCACGTGCAGAGTACGCTTTGGACCTCGTTTTACCTTTTTGTGGTGCGGGTGAGTGACTATGCACGCACGCACGCACACAGGCACGCACATATTCATTTACAACTATTGACTTTTACTAAATGTTCTTTCATAGACTGGCAGTCAGAGTTTGGGGGTTTTACTTGTTATGTTGCTAATGAAGAGGATGAGGAGGTGAGTCTTGACTACAATAATGGAAATATGTCTTGGCAATACTTCATTATCGTCATCACTTCCGTTTCTTCCTCATTGCAGCTGCTGACAGTGTATCCGGAGGATAATTCTCTCGCCCTCGTCTACAGAGACAAAGAAACCCTAAAATTTGTTAAACATGTCAACCACAAAAGCTTGTCTGATTCTGCTAACGCTAACAGTTCTACCCGCGGCGCATTTTATGACTTTTCTTTTGTGTATTATGAATAAATATTTCTATCCATATAACTATCTCGTGGGTTTTCTTGACATGGTTGTTGTTGGTTTTTTTTCTAAAAAGGTGGTGATTATTTAAGGACAGAACACAAACACTCCCAGATGCTGCCTGGCTTTTTGGGAGCTATTTTGAGTTGAGCACCACACCAGTTACTTTTGAAAATGTAAACCGTTTTCAAATTCGGCAGCTGAGTCTTTCAGTCAGATTAGATTAGATCAGATTGGAGTTCTTTTTAGTATTAATTTAATGAAAACTACAAATTTAAGATTTTGGTTGAATTGGCCAGCAGACATCAGCTGAATAGTTTTGTAAAGTAAAGTATTTGATAAAGTTTATTACGTTTTCTGTGTTTTTGCTATTTGCTACTTTTGTCACATGCTATGTGTTGCCTTGTTATGTTGTTTTAGCAGCTGATTTGCAGCTGTAAACGCAAACAACCAATAACAAGTCGTCATATTATTACTGATACTCAAACTTGACCAAAGTCTGTCCCTATCTGCTACTTCCCTGATGTCTCATTTCATTACTTTAACTCATCAGTTGAGGTTTATATCATAGTCATAACGTAATGAAACGTTTTAGCCTACATTTCATTTCTACTTTGAAAAAAAGAAAACCTCACTTCCTTTCCGTCATGATTTTCTGCCCGCAGGCTGCGTGTCGACTTCCACCAATCAGAACGTTCTTCCATCCATTCTCAGCCAATGGGAGGCCAGCAGGTTATGACGGCGTCAGTGGGTGTGACCCCGCAGGAGGAAGCGTCAAGCCACCGAACAATATAACAAAGTTTTAAGGTAAGCAAGTAGACGCTTTAAGAACGACTTACCGAACAGTCAATACAAAGAATGAATCCGTAGAAAGTCCGCCTGCCTGATCCAGTGTTTTAGCTTAAGAGTAAAAACACGTTCAGCTGTTTGTTTGTCGCACTGCGGCCGACAACTTTACGGCAATTGTGTCCACTTTACGCTGTGAGCGTACGAAAGATTTATCCGCACGATCCACGTCCGACCCGCTTTTACGGCTTACGTTAAAAACACAAACTATGCAATTCAAACTCCCAATGATCCTCCCTCCAATCGACCTGCAATTTACCTGGAAAGTTCTTGATAAAAGATTTCAACGAGGTAACTTGACGCGAGTTACTCCAACAAAAAAATCACGTGCAACGCGAAGTACAGCAACAACTTTCTTTAACTACAGGCCATTAAAGGCATTTATCACCGTGCAATTACACTGGAATCTGGGTGTTGATTTACTGTACAGACATGCCCACGAATGCAGTCAAATGTATTAAAGCAGTAATTTGGTTTCGGAAACTATATCATCAAATATTGTCCACGATATTAGGGAAATTCGTTTTAGAGCGATCCTCATTCAAAAGAGCGGTTCACGTGTTGTTTTTGTGTTTCAAAACACGCTACTGTTAATGTACATGAGCCAACTTATCTGTGAAGAAAAAAAGAATAATCAGGGAATGTTGAACTTAAGACGCTGTTTCATTGGCCGGGATTTGATTTGTTTTTTTTTCTCTCTTTTTCAATCAATTGACTAATTATGAATCTAATATAATCAAACCTGTCTGTGGTTGATTGGGTCACATTGCAATGCTTTCAAGAAAGCACTCTGTATGTGTAAAGCCTTTTGAGTCTGGTTTACTGAAAGCTTGGAAACATTTGAACCTTTCTTCAAGCCCCTGCACACCTGCACAGGCGTTTTAACGTATCCGCACTGATTAGACCTCTTCTCCCTCACTCTCATGTTGCAACGAGGTACAAACCTACTCCCCTTTCTCACTGTATTGTATTGTAAAAAGAAAAGCTTTAACCTGGTTCCCCTGTTTATGACGTGCAAGTGTTCACTGAAACAACAAGTCCAGACATTCCTATGATTTCAGAGTTGTGCATTTGCAATATAACAGCTTATTCATTAAATGTTTTTTTGTTGTTGTAATTTTGAAGTTGATATATCAGTTCACTTATTTAGTCAATTCATCAGTTGACAGAAAGTGAATCACCGATTACATATTTCTGATATATTATTAGTAATTCATCGTCAAAACATCCCAAAAATGTTGAAAGTCGCTTTTCTTTCTTTCTTATCATGGTAAATTGATTTTGCGGTTTTGGACTGCTGGATCAATCAAGCCAAGTGTGAACATTGGTATATCTGTGAAGTTGTAAAGGGCATTTCTCCAGGGACTAAATTATTCATCAAAGATCATCAACAGATCTTCTGGGTCGTTGGGTTTACATCCAGAGCTATGAGCACCGAAGACTACGACACAAAACACACCGAAACAAGCATCAACTCCCATTATCACATGAAGCTAAAATGACTGACCTCACGGTGTGAATCAAATATATCTCACCTAAATGTCAGCCAAGCTGTCGAGGGAATACTAGAGGTGGCCTTTTAACAGCAAAAGCTAAATGATACATTTTAAGCTCCTCATGATCTCTTAATCCTCACAGAGCTGTTGAACAAATCTCACGTACACTTCCAGAGTACCGGTAGATGGGATAGCAAATAATTACACACTCGCTAAATTGTGGAGATTCTTGTAAAGCCAGTAGCTAAAGATACTGTGTGTTAGAGTACTCTGGGGACATGCACATAATCCAGCTCAGAGGATGCTCTTTCCATGCACAGCGCTCTGCACGGAGACGGCACTAAGAGTGAGCTAACGGGCGAGTTAGGGGGTCGACTGGGGGGAGGGGAGGACTTAGATTAAGCATGTTTTTATGTAATGAGGCTTTCAAAAGGATGTTGGGAGTACAAACGGTTGGAGAGAAGTGGTGCCGAGACGCCGAGTGACCACCAGGACAGACGTTTAAACTCTAGGAGGAACCATGTTTCTAGTGGTCACTGGCACATTCATTTAGAGAAGTAAAATGATTTATCACTTTGATGGCCTCAGTTGAAAGGAAACCCAAGCCTCGCATTTAGGAAGCTGGACCAGAGAATCTTAAGGATTGCACTGGTAACATGTGGGTATGCCCCACAAAAAACACTTAGAAACCACTAAACCACCAGATTCCTTCAAAGCTACACTCTAATATCAGCGGCATTTAAATGAACTACTTGAACTACTTATTTTTGTTCAACTATAATTAAATTAAGTTGTCACACAATCATGATTACTGTGAATTGCTACCTCACTAATCCTTTGTTTTCCGTTTTGACCTTTGCAGGTTTTATTCAGGTCTCATTAACATATGAAATGGTTGTATTATTATGGAATAATAGCACTTTTCAAAAATCCTTCAAAGGAACAAGACAACAGTCACTCGTTTTTAAGTAAATTCTATTGAGCCGTTCCAATAATGCACACTGAAATATCAAATACGTAGTCAGTGCCTAACTGCTGGGTACGCAATCAAATTAAAATAAAATAGTAATGCACCGTTATTTCCACACTGAAGGACACGATTGTAAATGAGGGAGTGGAGGAAAATGTTTGCATTTCCTGCGGTATAAAGCATGATGAAGGTAATAAAACGCTCACCTAGAACTTCATGACCTTAACATCTGCTGATGTCAGAGCAGGATTTCTAATAACTCTGCTTGTAAACCCCTCAGCGTCTTTATTTATTTTAACCTGCATGAAGTTCAGGGCCCTTTTCTTTCTTCTAATTTACAGTTTTCATTCAGTTAACACACATGTTGGTCGGAGCTTTGCACAACACTCTTTGGCTTTAACTAATTATTCTAAACCTTTAACTTCACGTTGTGCTCAGATGATGGCCTACAAGACTGTGGACGGTGGGCCGTGGACAGGATGTGCCGTCCTGTTCCTGCGCTCCCTCTGTCCTGGTGTGAACCTGCTCTCCCTCTTCAAAGACAGAGAACAGGGAAAGTTCGTCGTCTTTAAAGTCATCAAGCTGACCCTCACAGGTGAGTCGGGCTCGCCATGCCTCGCATACCAATCGAGTTCCAAGCTGCCATTGTCCTAAGTCATGTATTGTTCACCCTCGTGAATCGCTATTGTCTCCGCGGTCAGATTCTGCCGGAGGTCTGGGTGGTCACGAGATACTCAAGATCCATGACGCCGACCCGTTTCTGGGGGTGGAGGTGAAGTTCAACGACATGTTGGCGTGTCGGCAGTTCCTGGAGAGCTACAGCTCAGGGGCGGTGCGTCAGTCCCTCTCTCAACACGCCGGGCGACTTCTCACACTTCCCCAGGAGTTCACCGTGGAAACTCAGCTCAAGGCCAGCGCACACATCCTGGACCTCTGTCTGGACCAGCTGGAGCTCTGCCTGCAGCACGTCCACCTGTCGCAGGTATCCTCCACCTTTCTGTTATCCTCTCCTTCGGCAATTTGAGATCGAGCTCCAGTGTTTTTGAAATTTCAAGTAGTCAGTTCTTATTAAGTGTTTAATTGCAGTCTTATTTTGAGTCATTCATTCAGCAGCGTTAATATAATAGTAACAGTTCATTACTTTTAACAATTAAAAGCATTTTATAAGGATTTATATGGTCAGGTTTCATGATAATTCATCATTTGTGGTCACAATAATTATCATAGTTTCATCATCTTCCTCTTAACATGACAATCACTGTTTTAATGCTTTATAAAGTGATTCTTAAGTGGTCATTGTTGTCAAAGATTTTTACACAAATTTCTTTGGTGAGTTTTGTTACACGAGTCCTGAGGGTGGCTGGATGTAAACTCACATAGATAAGTTAGAGAAAGAGGGTGAGTTCACCTAAATGTTGTCATTCCTCTTATTCAGTGTACCTGAACTTTATGATTGTGTTACAGCCCGAGCGCCTGCGCGATGAGGAGATTGAACATCTGGAGAAGCAGCTGGAGATTCAGGCCCGCGGCTCTGAACCTCAGCCTGACCCCCCCACACAGGAAGAGTGTCCCGTCCCCAGCCACTGCTTCAAGTTTCAGAATAAAGTGTTTGGTGAGTCAAGACAACCAGCTCTACTTTTAAGTATTTTGTAGTGTCCTTCCCGTAGCTGCGGCCAGACTTTTTCAAAGTGAGCTTACACTATAGATTAAAAAAACAAACATTATTTAGTCTTTAATGGTCTTTCCAACAGCTAGTTGTTCAACTTCATCCAACAACGTGTGTTAAACAGAAGTTGTGATTATTAGCTAGTGTTTTTTTCCCCTCATGTTTACGATGCGAGCGGCGGACAAATGTGTTCCATGTGGTTATCACGGCATCCTACACCGACAGCCCTCAGGGCTGTTTCTCATCTGACTCTCTAATTTAACCTTTTGATGGTCAGAGACCAGTGCCAGGGCAGCAGGTATTTGGATCGCTTTGAATTGGTCAACCTCATATTGAACTGTTAAATTAACATTAACTGATGAGGCATTGCAGCGTCTTGAAAGTTAATTGGATTTTTGGTTTTTGGTAAGTAAAGATTTGATTTCAGTTCATGTAAACGTAGTTTCAGCCTCTTCAGGCACACAACTGTGTCTGGGCTTTGGGGACTTCTGTTCCCTCAGTGCCTGCACCAGGGCTCGACAGCCGAAGCTGACCTGGTTTCTAGTTGGACCTGAATAATGAAAACGGATTTTGGGTAAACCAAATTTAAAAAAATGTATGTATTCATACTACACAATTAGGTGTCTTTTATTTTTGCAATTGTTTTAAGCTTCAAGCTACAAAAACTGTCAATCTCTGTCCTGTGTTTTAGGCATAATGATAAATGAAAGTCCTCTTCAGACAGACGCTGAAACAAAGCAGAGCTGCTCTCATTCTCTTGGGATTTGTAAATTGATTTTGGAGCTTTTGATGGGGCATCATTGATAATTACCGAGTTATTCAGCCCACACATATTTACAATCATGAAGACTCACAATGTCAATATTATTTTGTCGACAATGGCTTTTGGTTGTTGTGGAAAAGGCAAGAGATCCCTCTTCATCCCCCCTTGGCTTTAAGGAGCATGTTTCAGTTCATCCTTTCCGTTTTGTGAGCTGCATCATTTAGCAACTAAAGAGCTGGATGTTTCTCGTATGAATTGTAATGAACCAAACTAGAGGTTAAAGACTAAATATTGGGCCTAAATTGTCAGATACCAAGCCGAACTCATAATGAATGCACGTTCTCTTCTTCTCTTTACCCAACAGAGGACCGAATGCTGACGGGGGGAGACGTTCAGAGCTTTTCTAGCGGCGTGGGCCGTCAGTGGAAGCACGTAGGGAGGGCCCTGGCTAAGAGCTGCCAGGCTCTGAAGGGTCCGGCCATAGACAACCTGGCCTACGAGTACGAGAGAGAAGGGCTGTACGAGCAAGCCTATCAGCTGCTCAGCCGCTTTATCCAGGCAGAGGGGAGGGCGGCCAAGCTGAGCCGGCTGGTCAAAGCGCTGGAGGACTGCAAACTCACCAGCCTGGCTGAAAGTATTCTGGAGATTCAGCCACGAGAGTGACGGGTCGTTCTCCGGTTCAGCATGTACGAGTTTTTAAAAAACTGAGGGGTAACGGATCCTCTCAGCATGAGGATGGTTGACATTGTCCTTCCTGGTTATAATATACAGTACGTTATTGATTGATTGTCTGTCAGTCAAAACCATTCCTGTGTATGTGAGAACACATTAGAGCACATCTGTGTAAATCCATTGATATCATGATTTGCTTTTCAATTATTAGTGGTATTGTTTCATTTAGAGGAAATGATCTGTTATCACTGTTTAATGGCCATACTGTCTTGAGTTGCACTGTTCAAACTTTGGTCGTGCTTGCTGAAATATTTTAGAGAGGAAACCTTCAACCATCAAAGGTTATTCTTTCTTTTCTAAAAAAATGGGTGCATACAAATTAAATGGTTGTATACAAAAAGTCATGTTTGTGTTCAATACATTAGTGTAATTAAATCTGAAAACGTAATTTTGTCAAAATTCCCTCAGGTATAATTTATTGTTAATCCTCCGGCTCTACCTCTCTCTCTCTCTCACACACGCACATGCTCATCTGATTAAACTGCGCTGATTACTGGTGCTGCTGAATGTGTGTATGGGCCCGCATGTGTCACGTTGTGGGAGCCTGATGGACGAGGGGTGGAGGGTGTAGCTGAGGTGTGTGTGTGTGTGTGTGTGTGTTTTCAGAGGCTTTATCTCTGCAGGCTGATGGACGGAGTCTCCTCAGCTCCTCTGCTGGCTTCCATTCAGAGTCCACTGTAAAAGCCCAACCCCCCCCTTTTTGTACTCCACTTGACCATCCATCCAGATGTGATGTGTGGATTAGAACCCTTTTATCACACACACTTTATTATTGCTATATGGTAGAGGCACAACCCCCAACGTGAACATACACAGTTTAATGTGGATGCGTTTCATGATAAACAAACTCATCTCTTTTCGTACGGTATAACCAGGAAACTGATGTTTTGTCTACAGTTGGGGATTCACGAAACGTTGAGATTTTCTAGACAAACATTGCCCACGTTTGGGGTTTAAATCCACTGCTGAGATTATTATGTAAGTAGTTCTATTTGAAAGATGTAGAAAATGTGATTTTTAACTGACATATATCATACCGAAGGGAAGAAAATGAAATATGAAATCAATTTTGGTTTGTGGCAAACCCATCATTTCTCAGGTGTGTTGGGTTTTCCATGGCACATTTATTGAATCGTCCTATTCTTTCTAGGCTACACTACACAATATAAATGTGTATTTAGTTACAGTTGTCACTACCCAGATATTGTACAAAGGCTTTGATAATAAAGAAACATCTTTGATGGCATTTGTACCGCTGCATTTTGCATAAGAACGGGACCAGGAAGTCTTCCTTCAGTCTTTTTCACGTTATTTAAAACTACTACTACTAAAAACAATAAATTAACCGAGTGTATTTGCGTGTAGGCTAATTAATAGGAACCGTTAATCTTGTCTCCTTGGTCGCCATCGCGCATGCGCGTGAGGCCTGTTTGTGTCGTTAAACATCCCCGCGATCCCAGTAGAATAGTAGAAAATCACAGTTTGATTCAGACAACGGGACCATTTCCAGTAACGCCAAGAGACGAGAGCGCACCATTTGCCGTTTAAACGACCCTCCCGTCTGAATAATCCTCCACGGGACGTGATTAAAGCCCCGGCTGCTCTGACGTAAGCGAGATTTTCCGCGTTAGGTGAGTATCGCGCAGGCAGCTCCGCTTCACTCCACCGCCTCTGTCATCACCACCACCACCAGCACCGCCCTGTAGAGAGAGAGAGAGAGAGAGACGGCCCCCCTCCCTCTCCCCATCTAACAACAACCCCAACCCCGCAGGCTCCAGCACAACGACCCCACCCCCCCAAATCCCTCTGAGAGAGGAGACGGAGAGGAGCACACGGAGCCACGGAGAAAAAGGATCGTTTTCGGGATCAATCCGGGGCCTAATGCTGTAGCGGACAGCGCGCGGGGGGAGAGCTCGAGCGAGGGACAGCGCACTGATTGCGAGTCGGGCGAGGGAGCAGGGCGGACGGGAGAGACGACGGGATCGCTCATTCGCCTGGAAACATGGGATGTACACTGAGCGCCGAGGAGCGCGCCGCTCTGGACCGGAGCAAGGCCATCGAGAAGAACCTGAAGGAGGACGGGGTGGTCGCCGCCAAGGACGTCAAGCTGCTCCTGCTCGGTAAGAGGAGGAAAAAAAAAAAGAAACCGTCCCCGCGGCGGCGTCGGCGCGCGGGGCGGGAGTCGCTCTCCGTGGTTCTGATTTCAGTGCCGGCTCTCACTCTGCCCTCCGTTCGTTACAGGCGGCGGGGAGTCCGGTAAAAGCACCATCGTCAAACAGATGAAGTAAGTGTCTCCCTTTTTTCTTCTTCTTCTTCTTCACTCTCTCTCTCGCTTCTATTAACCTTCCCCGACTCCGCCAGAGTGAAAAGGCCCGAGATTGCGCCCTTCCCGTATCTGTGCTCAGGCAGATTGAGCCGCCATGTTTCGAGAGGCCGTAGCACCGGAGGAGGGCCGGCGAGGCCGCCCGGTGCGTCCCAGGGGCGCTGTTCACCCCCCGGGTGCTGAAATGTAGTTATCGAGGGTTTTTACTTGACTACGGGGAGTGTGCCACGGGAGATATGTGGGTGTTGTTCCCTCCGCGTGCGCGCGCGCTCGCGCTCGCGCGTGTTGTGCCTTGTGTGTGTGTGTGTGTGTGTGTGTGTGTGTGTGTGTGTGTGTGTGTGTGTGTGTGTGTGTGTGTGAATTACATTGAGGTCACTACAGCTCCATTAGTGAATACCTCTGCTTTTAATCTTAATGGCTTTAAGTGCCCGATATCGCCGGGAGTACTTTGCCTATAAAGCGGATTTACGCAGAAATATGGCTTCTAAAAACTGCCTCTGAACCTTCCCCTGTCTAAGCTAAAATCATTTTTGATGTTTTAAATCACTTTTGTTTTTTCTCTCATAACCCTCTTAGGTAAGTTTCTAGATGTTTCTAAGCAGGAAAAGGAACAGTGCAGGGTTTGTCTTGTGAAACGGTGTTTTGCGGGGATTCTCGCAGCGCATCCCAGCCTGCAATACACCGACTGCGCCCTCCTTCCCTCCCTCCTTCCCCTCCTCCTTCCCTCCCTCCAAGCCCCGCTCCATCCTCTTCCCTTCACCTCATTACCCTCCTTGTACGTTCGTCCGTAAATCACTGATGTGCCCTTACCACAGGGACACTGGGGTCCAGGTACTATTTACAAAATATTATATTCAGGATTCGTTTTTAGTCTCAGCAAGCAGCAGATGGACAGGTGGTAGCTGCCCACACAGTGTGGGCCATAAAGTTTAGGTTGTGGAGGGCAGGTTTAACATTTTCCGCTGCAATATGTTTACTCATCATCCTCACTGGCTGTTCAAGTTGGCGTAAAGGTCGAGAGTTTCACATGGTGCATGTGATCCAGACCTGGATGTGTGCTGGGGGAATTTGTTGCAATGAGGGTGAAACTACTCCTGAAGTTCCCTTCCAGGAGTGTGTGTGTGTGTGTTTGAGAAACACAAAGAAATAGTCGTAAGGCTGCAAGAAAATTTGAGTGGAACATTTTTGAAAACCTTAAAAACGGTCAGAAAATGTAATGATCATAATGCTTAATATGTAAAAATGAACACATTGGAGTATATGATGTTTGGATTGAATGAATGAAACAAGGAGCAACTTCTTTGAGGCTGAAGACTGTAGAAATGTCATTGCTGTCTATTTTTAGACTTTGGAGACGATGATTGATCAGTTCATCACTTGCGTGCTGCATAGAGCTGTAACAATTAGTCCATTAAATAAAACATTAACCTGCAGGTTGATAACCTCTTAATTATTTTAGAAATTTTAAAAGTAAAATTGATCATATTTCAGATTAGCTCTGCTGTTTGGACAGAATTACACATAAAATTCGGGTTTTACAAAATTTGAATCAGCATTTTTATCTAAATAAAAATCTTTGTATACCAATTCATTGAGGAATCAGTCAAATCACATCAAGCAATAAATTCTGAAACTGTGGAACTCACAAAATCATTGTCGTTGTTTGTGATTATAAAAGAAATCCAAATATTCCTGCAACCTAAATGTGAGGATTGAATTCTTTGCCTGAATTATAGTAAATTGAATACTTTTTGTATGGAAGGTTTGTCGGACAAACCTGGTTGTGGCAAATTTAAAATACATTACATTTTCTTTATTTTGGTTATATTTCAAAGACAAATCAATGAATCAGTGCATTGCTAATATTTCTAATACATACATAATTATGTAATAATACATAATAGTTGCTAATTGTAGCCATAAAGTATCAAATGGCATTTGCTGTGGGAAACTGCACCTCCGCTTCTTTACCCTGAAGGCCAATGTTTTACATCATAAAACTGTTGGTTTTTAGGATGTAACTGGAGCCGGCTAGTTGGCGCTGCTCTAAAACATTTTGTCCCACCATGTGTGGATGGACAGAGTAGAGGTGAAAAACATCATCCCTTGTTTATCTCCCCCCTCAAACATCAATCACACATCACTACAAGAAGTGAGGAGAAGCTGCTGAAGTTCTGCCAAATAGTGTGCATGAGGTCAGGGTGTGCTGATGTATAATTTAATGATGAGCAGACTGAGCAGTTTAACTGTGCCGCACTAAATGTAACAGCACAGATCTGTGTGGTGGGATTGATTAGTGCGCTGACTGATTCCACTCCATTGCCCATCATACATTATAAATGGCTCAAATATCACATTGATGTCCAAATACAGATTGCAGACTGAGAATGTGATCAATTCCCATCCCATTATACATTGACACAGTCAGAGAGCGGTGAGGGGGGGTGGGGGGGGCATATGGATGTGTGTGACTTATTCTCTCAAGTCTGTACCCGTCTTGTGCTAATATCCGTTTGTGCCTGCAGGATTATCCATGAAGATGGCTTTTCTGGGGATGATGTGAAGCAGTATAAGCCTGTGGTCTACAGCAACACCATCCAGAGCTTGGCGGCCATCCTTCGAGCCATGGACTCACTGGGCATCGAGTTTGGAGACAAGGATAGAAAAGTTAGTCACCCACCAGCTGAAACGGCAACCTACAGACCGCTGAGAAACTGATATTTTATTTAAATGTGATATTTGAGGGTTGAAATGGGATATTTATCTATAAGGGTTGAGCCGTGTAGTGGACGTCACTCACTGGGCGTCATATTATGAAACCAGAAATCCAGAAAAAATATTATTTCACAGATATAAGTTTATACCCTGATCTCATACAAATATTTGTCCAGGCCGATGCCAAGCTGGTGTGCGACGTGGTCAGTCGCATGGAGGACACAGAGCCGTACTCCGCAGAGCTTCTCACTGCTATGAAGCGCGTATGGACCGACGCCGGGACTCAGGAGTGCTTCAGCCGCGCCCGCGAATACCAACTCAACGACTCTGCTCAATAGTGAGTGCTGCCAAAAGAAATACGAGGACCCCCGTACGAGCCAATGAGCCCTCTAACCCACATTCCGGTCGATCTTTGTCTCTCATCAGCTACCTGGACAGTCTAGACCGGATCGGGGCGCCAGACTACCAGCCCACCGAGCAGGATATCCTGAGAACCCGAGTGAAGACTACTGGTATCGTCGAAACCCACTTCACCTTCAAAAACCTCCATTTCAGGTGGCGTACACGGCGCTCGCAGACGACTCAGTCTTAGTTGTTAGGCGTTTTGGGTCACATTAGGTTTGGGGATTACAGCCCGACATCTGAACTACCTTGTTGTGCGTTTTCCAGGCTGTTTGACGTTGGGGGTCAGAGGTCAGAGAGGAAGAAGTGGATCCACTGCTTTGAAGATGTGACTGCCATTATTTTCTGCGTTGCTATGAGTGGATACGACCAGGTGCTCCACGAAGATGAAACAACTGTAAGTGTGACTCAGTTAATTAAGTCTGAATCCCTCTGGTGCATAATTCACTGTGGGGCTTTGACTGATGTTAAAGACGCCCCAGTTTGAGTGCTTTAGAGACTTATAACTGCAAAATCACCATGTCGTTCTGTACGGGTTCCGACATGCATTTATATCCTCATTGTGTGTCTCTCTCTCTATTCAAGCTGCTAGTATCTATTCAAAACACAATTCTACTATCTTAACTATCTGTGATAGATACAGTGCGACAACTCTTTTTTGGTGTCTCAATTTGAATTTGAATATGAAAAAGGCTCAAGACAAAACAGTTACAGAGCAGACGTTCTTATTTATCTGTCCCACTTCCGTCTAAGAGGGCTTCACTATCAGTACAATAAACTCTATCCTAGACCCTTGATTTGAATAAATACAAATGGGTCGGCAGAAACCGGTGGAGGACAGACAGTGAAACTAGCACAAACAAATTAACATTAAAATAATTTATTTAGTTGTTTTTTGAATAAATAATTTGTTTACTTCTGTGGTCATCCAGGAAACTTGAAAAAAGGAGTAGTACATAAGAACATTTAAGTCTTTATTTGTACTTCTCCTTTTTGGATAATTGACAGAAAAACTTTGAACAATAATAATATATTTAAACTTAAGTCCTAGTATTAGTTACACATTAAACAATGATTTGGTAAAGCAATGATAAATGGTTGTCAACTGGCATAAATTCAGTTATTTCTTCCTGCAGAACCGCATGCATGAGTCACTCATGCTCTTTGACTCCATCTGTAACAACAAGTTCTTCATCGACACCTCAATCATCCTCTTCCTCAACAAGAAGGATCTGTTTGCTGAAAAGATCAAGAAGTCACCGCTGACGATCTGTTTTCCAGAATACACAGGTGAGTTCCACCTTCAGGCGGAAATTCCACACGAGCGAAACGATCCATTTTGGTCCTTCATGTCGTCTGCTCTTCTCTCTCTGTGCTTTTTCTGCAGGTGCTAATACTTACGACGATGCTACTGCATATATTCAGGTTCAGTTTGAAAGTAAGAACCGCTCTCCCAATAAGGAGATCTACTGTCACCTGACCTGTGCCACAGACACAGGAAACATCCAGGTAGTGTTTGATGCCGTCACCGACATCATTATTGCAAACAACCTGAGAGGGTGTGGCTTATACTGAGGCCTGGCCGAGCACAGAGGTTGTTATGGAGAGTATGAGGTGTTAATAATGATAATTTTGATGATACTTAAACACATTAATATGTAATTCTACACGTCCAAAAGGACCCAAAGAGCTGCCGTCTTGACACCACACTGGATTATTGCCATGATTTGTTCCCTTCCCCTCATTTGGATTTCAGTATGAAACCCCAGATTTGTCCTATAAAAAAAAAACGTGTTTTTGAGCTGAATGTTTCATGTTTTGTTGATGACTGTGTCAACAACTGGAGAGGCCAGAAGAGGAAGCACCAAGGTTGTATTCAGCTGGACCCTCGTTTTGCAAAACTCAATAATGGAGAGGAGAGTGCAATGTCAATTTTTAACCACAGCGTGGACTACTGTCCCATTCTTTGTGTGACGTTTTTATGTGCACGTCTCAAGGCATTCATATCTATACTGAAAATAGCCTGCTGTGCTGCGTTTGAAGAGCCGCTGTGTGTATGAAGGTGGCGATGATGAGGATGTCGGGGAGGTGCTGTGCTCGTGGCTGAGGGTCGTGGTCGGGAAGAAGGCTATTTTAACATTCAGAAGGGACAAAGCTTCCCTCTCCTTCAGACCCACACATGACTGAGTAGCCTGCAGGTCTTTAAAACATAATGACAGGATTCTTCTGTTCAGAGTGGCTGCCCATTTCCATTGGCGTCTTGTAGCGTGAGGAAATGCCTAGCAGCTAATGATAGCTAAAAAAATAAATAATTAAGTCATATTGGTGCCAATCGAGGACACATTAGGAATATAAATCATAATTCATGTTCATACCATGAAGTAATATTATTTAAATATCAGATTATCATCGAATGATTTTTTCATTTAAGCCTCATGCCCTACATGCCTCCTTCTACCTCCTGAAATCCCGTGCCACATATTTATTCCCTGACATGAAAACGTGGGTACACATACACCTGTCTACGGCTCAGAGGGTAGAAAGCAGCCCTCCAATGACACCTTTGTTCTCTGTGTGGTGCTTGACCCTTCGATGTGAATCTGTGTAGAAAGTAGATGACTGCACGAGAACAATATCATTCGAGGGGACCCTTCTGGGGAGTTTCTGGGGGTATCCCCAACCCTCTTCTTCCCCTTATACAGAAACTGGGGAACTATTC